CAGAATTTGGATCATAACAGAATTTCAAAGCGACACCCGAAAAGCCTGGCCTCGTCACAATGATCCAGCACAACATCCAATTTCAAGGGCTTCAGGATGAATCCCCAAGGGAGCATATACAGAGATTCATCGAGATTGGGGAAGCTTGAAGATCAATGAGGTATCCGATGAGGCTTTGAATTCGAGGCTTTTCCCCTACTATCTTACGGGGAGAACGCTTCGTTGGCTCAACAATAGACCACCCCTCTCAATTACCTCATGGGATGACTTACTCAAAATGTTCATGCCTCGATATTGTCCACCTTCCAAGATGGCGGAGTAGCGCAAGAAGATCACCCACTTCGCTGTAGAGTAGGACGAGACATTGAGGGATGCATGGGAGAGGTACTCTCGCTGTTTCCTCCAATGCCCACATCATGGGTTTGGAGAGAAATTTCGGATCGAAACCTTCTACGACGGTCTCCTTCAGGAAGACAAGATTCTCACGAACTCTCTGATGCGGCCCAACAGCAGCAGAAGAAGGGATGGCGCAGGGGGAATACCAGGCCAAGGAAGCCAAATACCCGACCGGGTATTATGTGGCTCCGGCCAGGTATTTTGGCAGCGACCTGGCATTTTGGGAAGAAGGCCCCCCGGTCGTGGAGGCTAAATACCCGACCGGGTATTTTTAGTTCTGACTGGGTATTTTGACCTGTGTGATGGGAATTCAGATTTCTAAGTTGTTTTTGTTATTTTTAATTGTTCGGACCTATATAAAGGCTGAAACTCGGGTTTTAGGGTTAGTTTTTAGAAGAATATTTATTTTATCTTGGTTTTGAGCTTGAGGCTTGAATTTTTTATCTGTATCAATCAAGTTTTCCCCTTGATTTTGGTCGAGATTCTATCTTTTATATTGATTGAGCCTTCCCCCAAATTTTTGTTGAGATTGCACTTTCAATTCCACCCTATCCTTACAAACAAAAACCCCTAATCAGACGTTCTATTGTTCGTTCTTGAAGCTGCGTACTTTCATAACTACAGGAACAAGCTCTGTGCTCGTATCAGGTGGTATTAGAGCCCGGTTCAACACAGTGGCGGTATCAAAAGCGCGAGAACCAGTTGCTTGTCGAACGAGGTCCAAATATCCGATTGAAGAACGCAAAGAAGAGGAGGAATCGCTCTCTGAAGAAGAAGAACCCCAATCGAAGAACCAGTCATGGGAGAGCAGAATAAGGATCTTGCAGAAGCCATGAAACTGCTTGCCTCGCAGATGACGCAGATGGGAGCTTTGCTTCAGGCCCAACAGGATGCTACCAAAGGTCAACTAGTTGAGACGAATCAGCGGCTAGATACCCCTAATCACTAGGTTGGGAACGCAACCAATGGGTAATCCACCACCACCAGAGAATCCAGCAGATGTTGCAGCTCAGACTGTAGCCGCGAACCAAGAGGGTCCAAGAGCAGATCGAGTGTACCAAACTTTTCCTGAGACCCCAGATTGGCAGATGCAGAGGCTCTAATACACGAGCAAAGTCGTCAGTTAATCCCGCAGAACATACCTCCGTTTAATGACTATGAGAATGATTATTATGAGCATGGAGGAAGACCACCGGAAGCAGGAGGTTATGACATTGAACCGATTTGAGGGATTAAGCTCTCAATCCCCTTGTTTCAAGGCACTAATAGTGCATCAGCTTACCTCGACTGGTAGAGGAAGATGATTATGGTTTTTCAGTGCAATCTTTACCTAGAGCATCAGAAAGTTATTGTAGCCACCTATGAGTTTACAGATTATGCAACAGTTTGGTGGGAAAAGATTCAACAACGACAAAGGAGGAATCTGCAGCCTGAAGTTTCTACTTAGGCAGAACTTTGCAGGCTGAGGCGTGAATGATTTGTTCTGCCTTTCTATTAGAGAGATCTCCATGATGCCTGACAGGGAATTCGACTATGAACTCGCTCTATTGATGAGTACTTCAAGGAGCTAGAGTTGCTCATGATGAGAGCAGATGTGAGGGAAGACTAGGAAGCAACGATTGCTCGTTTTCTGCGGGGCTCAACAGGGAAATCAAGAATGAAGTGGAGCTTCGTCAGTTTGTGGAGTTGAAGGAGGTGGTGCATTTGTCCATGAAGGTAGAGAGGCAGCTGAAGGTGAGCTCGAGAATAAGGTACTCACCTTCACCCAAACCTATTACAGAGAACCTTCCTGAGGCTAACATGAATCACCCTAAGCCAGAAGGTGACAAGCCAGCTGCCAGGAATACAGCACCAGTCATTAAAGCCAGGAATGAAGGCTCCTCTGGAAGCATCCAATGCTTCAAGTGCTTGGGATGAGGTCACAATGCCAACCAGTGCCCTAACAAATAGGCTCTTGTCTTGAGAGATGGAGAGTACTTTTCTGAGGAGGAGTGTGAAGAGAAGCCAATGAGGGAGGGACTCGACCTTTATTATGATGATGACGATGTGGATGAGCACATCGAGGCTGAAAAGCCTCCAGCAGGTAAACTTCTTGGGGTGAACCGCCGAGCTTTATCTATTGAAACTTATACAGAGACAGAGCAGAGGGATAATCTTTTCCACTCTCGTTGCCTGGTCGATGAGAAGGTGTTATCTGTGGTCAACGATGATGGTAGCTGCACCAATGCGATTAGTCTGGATGCAGTCAAGAAGCTGGGGTTGAGCACCATCAAGCATCCTCAACCATACACACTGCATTGGCTAAACGACTATGGGAACATCAAAGTCAACAAGAAGATCAAGGTTTGTTTTCAAATTGGTGACTATGCAGATGAGACATGGTGTGATGTTGCTCCAATGCAGGCTGCTCATCTATTATTGGGTCGTCCGTGGCAATATGATCGAGGAGTTATTCATGATGGAAGGCACAACAGCTACCGGATCAAGAAAGGCGATCGGAAGTTCTTGCTAAATCCATTGTCCCCAGCTAAAGTCCAGGAAGATCAACAACATCTTGCCATGAGCTGGGCCAAGGAGAAACGAAGTTCAAGTTGTTTGAAGTTGGAGGACGGAAGTGGAGCGCATCTGATGGTGCAGAGGAACATGTTGACTGCATTGAGGAGAAATTCATTTGGCAATATTGTTGATGTGGTCTCTTGCAGGAAAACACCAGCTTTGAGGGCAAAGCTTCTCCAACAGGGAGGGACTGATGCCACCCAACAGCAGCATAAGAAAGGATGGAGCATGGGGGGGATACCCTGCCAAGGAAGCCAAATATCCGACCGGGTATTGTGGGGTTTCGGCCGGGTATTTTGTGAGCGACCTAGCGTTTTTGGGCAGAAGGCACCCCGGTCGTGGAGACTAAATACTTGATCAGGTATTTTTAGTTCCGACTGGGTATTTTGACCTGTGTGACGGGAATTCGAATTTCTAAGCTGTTTTTGTTATTTTTAATTGTCCACACCTATATAAAGGCTGAAACTCGGGTTTTAGGTTTAGTTTTTAGTAGAATATTGATTTTTATCTTGTTTTTGAGCTTGAGGCTTGAACTTTTTCTCTGTATCAATCAAGTTTTCCCCTTGATTGTGGTCGAGATTCTATCTTTTATATTGATTGCGCCTTCTCCCAAATTTGTGTTGAGATTGCACTTTCAATTCCACACTATCCTTACAAAAAAAAAACCTAAACAGACGTTCTATTGTTCGTTCTTGAAGCTGCGTACTTTGATAACTAGGGTACAGGCTCCTTGCTCGTATCACTCTCTATGCCAAGGGAACTTGATGAAAAAGACCCCACCTGAGATGACCGCTTTACTTCAAGATATGGCGACAAAAAGGTATGATTAGGGATCGACGAGACGTGGTGGAAGGGATGCCAAGAGAGGAGTACACTCCACGAAGGTGAGTCCTCCCTCGCTGCCAAAATTGACATGTTGATTAATGCACTTCTTGAAGATAAGAAGCACTGGAAAAAGCCGTTGATGGCATGTGATTGGTGCTTGACTACCAACCATGAGATTGTGGAGTTCCAATTGATGAAGGAAGCAAGCACCCCGGAAGAACAAGTAAGCTACATCGCCAATGTTAGGGGGAACAACAACACTTAAATCCCAGGATGACTAAACCATCCAAACTTTGCTTGGTCTTCCCCGAGCAATCCAAGACCCCCTGGTTTCCAAGGGCCGACAAGGAACTATCAACCAAGGCCTCCTTCCATTCTACAAAGGCCCCAATTCCAAGGCTCGAGCTTCCAACAACAACCATTCCAAGCGTAAGGTGGTCAAGGGTTCCAACAACAACAACCCGATAAGTTTAAAAACTTTAAGACCTAATTACCACCTTCGTGAGTACAAGCTCACAGAAGTTCGAGAAGATTGAGAAATTCAAGGATGTAGCAATGAACAAGTTTTCTTCGTTTGAGGCGGGTTGAAGGAGCCATCAGCAAGTCTTCAAAAAATTTTAGACCCAAATCGGCGATCTTGTTGGGATCCTCACAGAAAGACCATGGGGAGCTCTACCTTTTCAAACTATTACCAACCCCAAAGATCAAAACGCCAGGTTGAATGCTATTCCCTTGAGGAGGGGGAAGGTAACTCCAGATGTTGTTGCTAAGGAAGTAAGTGAAGAAGAAAAGACTCCTCCAACGGTTGATAATCAAGAACTCTCGAAAGGAGAAGGTGGAGAGGCTAATAAGGTGTTGGGAACGCCACCACTAGTGGCTGAGTAAGAGCCTCATCTTCCTTTCCTTACGAGAGTGCACAAGTACCGGTTGGAGGCGGAGTGTGGAAATTTCATGGAGATGCTCAAGAAGCTCTGTATTACCATGCCTTTCTTGGAGGCAATGGCTTACATGCCAAGGTAGGCCAAGTATCTAAAGGGGCTTCTTGCGAAGAAGCATAAGTTTGAAAACCTCACCATTGTCACCTTCAGCGAGGAGTGCTCGGCCTTCATTTAAAACAAGTTGTCTAAAAATTAAAGCAACAAGATCCAGGTAGTTTCACTATCCCTCTCTGCATCGGAGCATGCCATATAGAAAATTCGTTGGTGGATTTAGGTGCAAGCATTAACATTATACCCTTTAAGGTTTACAAGAAATTGAACCTAGGTGAATTAAAAACACTAGGTTAAGTGTAACATTGGTTGACCGCTCGGTGATTAGTCTTAGGGGTATTGTGGAATATGTTCTAGTGAGGGTGGACACATAATGCGACGGATTTCATAATCCTTGACATAAGTGACGATGCGGATATGTCCCTCATACTAGGACGTACTTTCCTTGCCACCGCAAAGGCGTTAATTGATGTTAATGAGGGTAATTTGATCTTGAGAGATGGAGAGGAGCAAATTACCTTTTCGGTTGACCCTAAGAGTAAGAAGGATGATGTTAAGAAAGTGGAATCAAATGGTATGTTTGGAAGTGGAGGTGAGCCACTCAAGGCGAACCCCACTAGTTCTCTCGCTCCTTGTGATGATGTGAAAAAGGGAACTAAGGCAGGTACCAAACCCGAAGGAAGGAAGAAGAAAGCGTGGTTTGCAAATATGAGAGATGCCTTTACCCAAAAGAAGGACAAGAGTAAGGAAAAAGTGGCCGACCAAGAAGGCACCCCTTTGGATTTTAAGATGGGAGGTGACAAGCCTCGCCCCGAGACCGTGGTGGATCCAATCTCAGAGGCCTCGTGCTCTCCAGCATGAAAGATCAGCAACGTCGAGCTACAAACGTTAAACTAGCGCGTAGGTTTGTTTTTCTTTTCCTTATTTTCTCTTTTTTTTATTGAGTGATGAGTTCAAGTGGTTGAATGGTAATCACCATGCCAAAATTGTGTGTCTACTTGTTTTGGATGTGTTGTGATTGAGTTAGGGGCACGGTTGATTAGATCGAGTCTTGAAATTTTGGGAAATGCCCTGTTTTTCATCAGTTCACTGTTTTAGTTGTATTACCCAGACTTTTTGGCTCAGGTTCGACCATAGTAAATGAACGGTTATGTACGAAGGGTTACAACCGTAGATTATAAATAATAATAATAATAATAATAAATACTTATTATTATTATCATCATCTAATCGTCCCATTTAAACCCAACTGGTGCAAAAAGAGAAAACCTAAAACCACTAAGCCACCAGCTTACTCTCTCTCTCTCTCTCTCTCTCTCTATCTATCTATCTATCTATCTATTTTCCCATGCAAGAAAAGTTGTAGCGCCGCCATCGACCTAGCCCACTCATCATGTTCTTGCTCCCAGCAGCAGCAGGCAGCAGGGTCAACGTCGCCATCAACCTTCGTCCTCACGTTTTCGGAGCGAGCTCGCTGTCGTAAGGAGGCACTAGTCGCCTCCGTCCCCGACACGCGCTAGTCTCCCTGCGCAGTTGCCGAAAAACCCAGAGATATCAAGTTAAAATATTCTTCGTGTGGTGGGTACCGTCGTGAAGGGGACGATCCCAGGAGCATCATTGTGTCGACGAAATCGAATTCCGACGTCGGACAAAGGAGAACTGAGACTCGAAAGTTTGGATTAAAATCTGTCAAGTTCAGGTACCATTTTTGTTAATTCGAAAGGCAAGAGGACTGAATATAAAATTTTCCAGAAAGGTCGTGGTCTAGTGATAGCGTCGTATTTGCACATGTGTTGACTCTTGTTTCCTGACCATTTTAGCTCGAATTTGTTGTTCCTTGGCCTATTTTACACTAGGTTGTGTTGCTTTGTCGTATTTCAGGTCCTAGCAAGTAAAGAGGTGCATAGGCGCAAGTTTCGGGTCATTTAGAGGTCAGGAGGCGATTCAAGAAGCAAATTACGGGCAGCCCCTGCCCATTTACGGGCGTAATTGCTCCTGTCATGCCCGTAAATGCAATGTCGAGCCTAATTCTTCAGAATTCCTGTCGCAGAGAAAATTACGGGCAAGAGTCAAAGTAACTACGGTCGTAATTCCATAATTACTGGCAGTAATTGGGTAATTACGACCGTAATTCCCTTCCTTGGAGTTAAGTGAAACGCGCCTTTTATACGATTTACGGGCAGACCATGATTACGACCGTAATTCAGCCCGTAGTTCGTCCAGAATCAGGTTTTTGGGGAAGATTCGAGCCAAAGGAGAAGGAGTCGAGTTTTTGGAGCAAAAACAGAGTTTTAGAGAGAGAAAGTGCGACGAACAAACCCTAGGAGCTATTTGGAGTGGATTTCTCACCATTGAAGCCCAAATTGCATCCCCAGGAGTGAAGATTGACATCCCAGAGCAGATGCTTCCCATTGTTATGAGTATGACTACTTTGTATTCTGTTTTCCTCTCTCTCTCTATGGAGTAGAACTTTCTCTCACTTGGGTATGAAGAACCCTAGTTCTATGTGTTAGGAATCTTGATTGTAATTACGTTTGGATTGCGATATTGCTTGATTATAATCAATTAAAGTGTTTTGATTGAGTCAATTGAAGTCTGATCATCTTTTATTGATTTCTGCTGCAACCTGAGATAGATAGAATCTGATTAGGTTGTTAGAGCTTCTTCAATCGGAAGTGGTGAATCGATTATACGAGAGTTAGTCGATTCAATGCTTTGTACCAGAGTCTAATTCCAGTAGTGGATTTCTGTGTTCATTGTCGTCTGCCGGGTAGTTTGACTGAGAGGGCTTGGTCAGCTTAAGAGATTCCAAGCTACTGTCGGATCTTCCGCAGTATAATCAGTAGTAAAGCAACCAAAAGTAATTACAACTGTGACCTAACTAAGGAGCTAGTGGGACTCATTCCCGAGTGACTCTTCTTTTGCTTTAGAAAACCAAATCATTTCCTGCTTTCTTACTGCTTTTAGTTAAAATCACAATCACACAACTTAGTTTGCTAGATAACAGATATACACGGAGTAGGCAGTAGATCTAGACCCCGGGTTGACAATTAGAGCTTGCCTGTTACTGCATTTCCGGACTGCGATTACACTTGGTCGCAGTTTGGTGTTGTGTTTTAGCATGTCATCTAGGTTAACTGGAAATTTTTAGAATCGGTACCTGGTACTTTGAAAACTGAAAGAATGTTTATTTTGGCCATAATTTGTTCGTTTGACATCCAAACGAGGAACCGTTGGCGCCTATGGAACAGTGGAAGCAAGGAGAATTTTATGGGAATGAGTTATGGAGTTTATGGAGCTGGATCAGAGTCAGTTTCAATGAAAATGAGGTGAATATAAAGGGGGTGATATCTCAATCGTATGTCTTTTAGTTTATGCTTTTACTTTCAGCTACGTTAGTGAATTTTCATGAGTTTGTGGGATTATGTGTGTAAGGCATCACACCGCCTACTTAAGGTAGAGGCACGCGTTGTGCTATGTAGGTGAATGAATGTTTGTAATGTATGGTTAATGGTAAGATGAACCCCCGGGCGGTTGGGCCACTACTGGACGCGGTAAATGGTCGGATCACTGTTGGACAGGATACGTAACGCACCAGTTGATCGAGGATATTGGATCATTACTGGATAGCGATACGTAACGCATTAGTTGACCGGGCATGGACTGAACGGCGATACGTAACGCAGTACCATTGCCTTGAGGTTAGGGACACCGAACGACGATACGTAACGCGGTGGAACCTAGTAATAAGTGTATAAGTTAAGATAGAGGTACAGAGCTTATATATGATATTAAGGAGTAAAGTATTAAGGATGAAAGTGAGAATGACTTTCATGTAAAATAGGAATTTTCTAATAATGTGTTAGTAAGGATTTGCTTAGACAAAGACCTTAGGAAGTAATGACGAGACTGACCCTTTCTCACTCACGAGGTTGAGGAAGGGCTAGCAGAGGTGGATTTCAAGAAGAGGTAAGGCAAGGCGAGAAGCCGCACCAGAGTGGACGAGATCGAGGGGAGCTCAACGATGAGCTTGAGTTAGATTTAATTAGTTACTTTATGATTCATGATTATGAGTATATATTGGAGGTTCAAGGTTCAGAATTTATGTGGTTTTATTGACTATGGATTGTGGTTGCCCAAATGTTTAGGGCATTTCATTTGAAAAAGATTTAGTGGTATTTGTTTTAATGAAATTTTTCAGGTTGTTTTAAGTCGGCTCCGGAGCCACGTGTATTTCGATTTGCTTAAAAGGAACGTGTTGTGTCATTTTGGTACCAAAACCAGCACTCCTCTGTTCCTTGGCCTCCAAGGAATACTGGAGTAAAGATCTGGATTTTTCAAGGTTTCTGTTTTTAAAGAAAGGGAAGAAGGGGTGTCAGGTTAAGAGGGTTAGCCAAACGAGTGAAAAGGTTCTCTTGAGAATTTTTAGAATCTCCAATATACTATAATCATGATTAGTAAAATAACTCTGTTAGGCTTACGTGTCTATGAAGCGTCCTGGGAAGGAGAGGAGCAGATTCCTAAGAAAATAGTTTAGTGAACCCTTTTCATGAGCAAGAAGAGGTAGTCCAAGGCAACTCATACCCTTCGGGGATGCGAGTTGATCGGTATAAGGTTCAGAAAGACACCGGTATCTAAGACGTTAACAGGCAGTAGGCAAGGAGTTACGACAAATGGCAGCCATAATTAAGAGGAAAGGGTGCAAGGGAATTTCGTTGAGTTCGCGTTTAATGCCACAGATACGATATCCTAAATCGAGGTGATTTTATATGGGTTTAGGGGAGGAGTACTCGGAGGCGTGTGGATAACCACGAAAGCCCGCTGAAAAGAGCTCACTCACCATATTCGATAACCCTAAGTATTTATGCATGCATAGTAACCGTAATCTAGGGGAGGATTAGTTCCCTGAAGTACTTGCTTTTAGCTTTGATCAATCTCTAGTCTAGTTATCTCCTCAAGTCCTCCACCCAAACCTCAAAAACTGATTAACTAATTAGCAACAAGGTGTAGACTTGGCAATAGGGTCGGGTTGGGTAATTTGGGGTTGGGTCATTCGGTTATGGGTCGGGTAATGATGGGTTGGCTGATTTTGGGTCAAATATTGACCCAACCCATTCGGTTTTGGTTTGGGTTACAAGTCATTTTGGGATACGAGCGCTCTCAGAAACAATATCAAACATGCTTCATATTTTCTTTAAGAACACAAATTTTCACATATGCATGACAATAGTTTACCTAGCACATGTCAATTAACATATTCTCAAATCCTCCCATGCTAATGAAATGAAATACAAATTGCGGAAATCGTCAAACAACAATCACCAGAGTAATATTACTACAAAAAACACATGATATTTGATTATCCTTAAACTCCAAACATGTCATTCATATCCTTGTAATTATTTTAAACATCTCACCAATTTATGAGTAATTTTATAATTTTGAAAGTGATATATAAAATGGAACGTGTCTAACGAGTCGACCCGCTAACCCACCCAACCCGACCCAAAAACTCACGGGTTATCGGGTTCGCGTCATTCGGGTTTCGGGTTATAAAAAATTCTATTTTCGGGCAGGTTAGGGTCGGGTCAACGGACCGGTTGTAATTTGCCAAGTCTAACAAGGGGGGAAGTAGGCGAGGGCACCAGGACCCGAGTAATATACGACCTTGATCACCACTATACGACAATGCCATCTTAAGTTAAACTTGGATTAGGATGGGGTAGATGTTGACACGTGCTAACCATTGACAATAATCTGCACGAACTCAAGTGATAAAAAATCTACCCAAAAATCCATCTTCTAAAGGGGAAGGAGTCCCTTATTTATAGAATTCTGCAGACATGGGCAAGTTCGCAGGCAAGGAACTGAAGATCGCACCCATGAACTTGAGGCTGCGATTGTAAGGGCAAGTTTGCAGGCAATGTGCAGAAGATCACAGTCGGGATATTTGAGGGTCACCATTTTCGCCTTGCTAAATGTGGAGTTCACGACCTAACATCATGGTCTCAATCCGGGGTGTCATGGTCTCAATCCGTGGACCCTCAAACGATGGCCAAAACTTTCTACTTCTCCCGAGCTGGCCTATTCCCAAGTTCATACCCTTGGCTCCAAAGTTCATGGTCGTGGACTTGAGATTGCGATCTTTAGGTCAAGTTCACGGGCGAGAGCAGAAGAACACGGTCGGGATCTTTGCACTACAGGTTGTGATCTTGTGCTATGGTTCATGCCCTCTCTTCATGGTTGGGATCTTGGCTCCTTCGGCCATGATCTCCGTTTTTTCCCCTTTTTCTACACTTGTGCGCCTTTTTCTTACCTAATTCACATGTATCGTACAAAGCACCCTAAAATAATGACATAATCCAATAGGAACGAAATAGGGATGCAATCGACGCTATTCTTCTGATTATGCACGCGAATTAGCACGAAACAAACCTAAATATGAAGGGTAAATAACATTGATTTAGGTGTTATCACCTATCACCCAAGAGAGTGAAGTTTCTTCACTATTTGTGCCCTTCATACGGTGCATGAACACATTCCTACACGTTTTCATTCCATTCGGTCAATCTTGATATATAGCTAGGGGGATCAATACCCGGGTGAAGTTTCTCATATAAATTCTAAAACAATTTACATTTTTTCTTTTTGTAGTCCTTAGTTTTCACCCAAAACAGATTGCTAGATAACGTTTTCAACGGTTGAAGTAGGAGTACATGGACCGGCCCGGGTTGACATTTTAGAACGCTTTCCCTATACTGCACCCTACTAGAGTTTATATTTGGGCTTTAGTCGGGATGTTATTGTGGTAGTTGGAGTGAGTCAACCACCTTATCCCTCCTTAAATCATTGCCATGCCACAGGAAGTCTGAACAAAGCTTATGGACTTGCTTAATAATACTCTTGGGCAGAATAAAAAAATGCAACCAATACTGTAGAATAGGGTAGATGGCAGAAGCAATCAACTCTAGTATGCCAGCATAAGTGAGCTTTACAGACCTCCAGGAACAAATTTTACTTACTATTTTATCAATCAACAGGTCACATTCCCTTACTGAGAGTTTACTAGCCACAAGAGGGAGTCCCAAGTATCGAACATGTAGTTGACCCTCCTTAAAACCAATACGTGATAAAGCTAGATCCCTAGCTTCTCTAGAGGTACCCCCAAAATACACTGCAAAGTTATCTGGATTACAGTTGAGTCCAGATATTGAATAAAATTTATCCAGTAGTCATTGAATGCAAGTAAGAGCCCAACCTGATCCTTCATAGAGAATTAACAAGCCATCTGCAAAGCAAAGATGTGTCAAACCTAGTGATTTGCATTGCAGATGAAAATGCAATTGGTTAATTTGAGCTGCCCTGTTGAGCATAAGAGGGAGTACCTCAACGGCCAAAGTGAAGAGATAGGGGGATAGAGGGTCACCATGTCTCACCCCTTTGCAACACGGGAAAAACCCTCATAAGCCTCCATTAACACATACACTGGAAAAAAAAACATATGAAAGACAAATCATGATCTAGTTTATAAAGATCCTAGGGAATTGCATAGCTTCCATTGACTTGGAATAATAATTCCCAGTGTACAGAGTCAAAGGCTTTCGTAAGATCCATTTTGACTGCATATCTAGACCTAATATTCTTATGTATATAGTTGGAGACCATTTCTTGTGCCATCAAGATGTTTTCATTTATGTTCCTTCCTCGAATAAAAGCTGACTGGTTTTTGCTTATGATGCTAGGTAGAATAGCTTGTAATCGATTTGGTAAAGCTTTAGAAATGACTTTGTATACCACATTTATACACGCTATTTTCCTATACTCAGTCATTCTACAAGCATTCTGAACAATAGGAACTAAAGTAAGAGATGCATAATTCAAACCTTTAGGCAGAGTCCCTTTGGTAAAAAAATTTCAACACACCAGCTACTAGATCCTCTCCCATCACACTCCATGTCTTTTGGTAAAACGCAAGGGTCCAACCATCAGGGCCGGGGACTTTGTCTTGCTTCATTGAGAACAAAGCTGCTTTATCTCAGCAGTAGAGACTTGGGAACATAATCCTTCTCCCTCTTCAAAAGATATCTTATTAACAATCAGAGAAGCTAACAAGGTTGTATCATAATGAACCACGACATTGATAACCCCATATAAGTTCTGATAAAACTTCACAGCTTCCTCAGCAATACTCTCAATGTTTCCAGTACTTTACCAGCACATAAATTAGGTATATGCAAGCAAATTGTGTTTTAGAGTCTCATCACCAAACTATTATTCAGAAGTTTGATTGTTACGATAACCAAGCCATCAAAGCAATTGGGACAATTATTTGGGCTTGCGTATCTTTATTAGTTTAGTCTTTTATTATTATTGTCTTCCATTAGTGTTTTTCTTGTTCACGTAGGATTTGGTTTATTGTTGGTTGTTCCATTGTAGGAGCACGAGTCATGCTTTAGGTTAGACAAAGGAGAGGTTTTGTGCCTATAAATATGTACTCGTTCTTTCGTTTAATATCATGAGAAGATTGGAACCTAAATCACTTTCTTGCTTCGTTCTTCTATCGTCCGACTTCTTTCATCCTAAGTCTATTTCTAACAGTTCTAACCCTAATGCTCTTCTTCCAAGTCTATTTCTTTAGTTTATCATTCGATTCTTGCGAGACACGTTACGTGGGAGGTTCTATCCAAAGAATACACGTAACAAGTGGTATCATAGCCCGGTTCGATGACGGGCATGAGTGATGGGTAAGACTTGAGCTACGGAAAATCTGGAGGAGACCGACAAGGGTTCCGTCCAACTTTGCCTCCAAGCCGTGGAGGAGTAAAATGATGATATGGGAGTACACGTGGGTCAGATGATGGAGCAAATGGATAATTTCGACCAAAACCAACACGATCTCCAGAAGACAGTGACCAAAGGGATTGCCAAAATGCAGGAGATGTTCAACCTTGTCATAACTCAAACTCTTGCAACCATGGATCAGAAGTTTGTGTCTATGATGGGCAACGGTAATAGTGCGACGTCAAAACAAATCTCGCCCACAAACCGCGAACCGACACCAATTGCGGGGAGGAGAAGATGAAGGGCCCAATGGGAACGCTAAAACCCAACATGGTCGGCGACAACTTATCCTAGCCGATCGGATTGGAGGGCATGACCAACAATGAGGGTACATGGGCGATCAGGGCGAGCTCGGGTGGTGGATCGGGGCTGACTACCTGCTCAGCCGATCCCTGCGGGGCGGTCCTGGCTATTTCGACCAATATGGGCCAGGAGAGAATGGAGGAGGCCAGTTGGTATCTCTTATGATTGGGCCGAGCATGAGAACTGGGTCGGGCAATGATTGGGCTCCGGGAAAATTTAATGGAGCTAGGCCAAGCCAGGTGTGGTCTACTAGGCTAGGAATCAATGGGAGAGAAGAAAAGATTTGGCTCTTAAAGCCCAAGACAGCCAAACTTTATTTTCCTAAATACAATGGGCAAGAGGATCCATCTGGATGGTTTGCGTGAGGCGAGCAGTTCTTCAACTTTCTTTTCAAGCAATTCTAGAGGTGCAAAGGGTATTTTTTGGCATCTTACCATTTTGAAGGAGATGCTAATCAATGGTGGCAGTGGGTGGATCGCACTACTATAATGATCGGGCAATCAAACACTTGGGCTAGTTTAGAGAAGAGTTGTGGGTTCGATTCGGACCTTCGGAAAGCACTTTTAGCCACGAAGCTCTTGCAAATATTAAACAAACTAGATCATTGAACGATTATCTCTTAATTTTTGAGAAGTTGGGTAATTGATGTTATGGGTGGACTGAAGAGGAGTTGGTGGGGTCCTAATGTACTCATTATTTAGTTTAGTATATCATGAGAAGATTAGAACCCAAATCACTTTCTTGCTTCGTTCTTCTATTTCTGACTTCTTTTAGTCCTAATTCTCTTCGTACTAAGTCTATTCTTTAGTTTATCGTTCGATTCTTGCGAGACACATTGTATGAGAGGGGTTCTATCCAAAGAATCCACGTAAAATTGATGGAATTGAAGGATCGTTGTCGAAACTCATGACAATTTGCCCAAGTCTTGCGAGCTCTGCATAATGGAATGTTAATTTCCGTTAGAGCTTCCACATCAATCCAATTGCAAAAGCAACTGAATTTGTCCTTTTTACTGCCAACTCAATTTTTTTGCAATCCATCTCAAATCATTTTCATTCACCTACACCAATTCAATTACTTGCAATTGCATATGTAATTAAATTTTATGTTTAAATTACATAAAATAAAGTAAAAGAGGAAACAAAAAAAAATCTTCATTTTAGGGCTTTTTGACTTGCATATGCAATTGCATTTGTTGCAAGCTTGCAAATATACAATTGGTAGCCACATCAATGCAATTGCTTTTGTAATTGCAAACACCATTCCCTGTCATCTTAGAATTGAGAATGCAATATCAATGTGGATGCTCTTAAGAATGAGGCAAACACGAGCCTGGCACAAGTTGTTATGGCATAGGTTTGGGTGGGATCCTTTATCATACGCTCTCATTACTCAAGCAACCACTTAAGCGCTCACGAGCGTAGTAAATGAAAGAGCAAATATGGGTAATAGTGTAGGGTTTGTGCATAACTGGTTTTTAGAACATCCACATCAAGCTATCATATTCAATTGCAAAGTGATATGATAATGGAAATGCAATTGCATTTTTAATTACATTAATGTAAGACCCAATTGCAATTCCATATCATATTCAATTGCTATCATTTCTTGCAATTCCACGCAGGCGTCCATGGATTTTTTAAAAACCTTATATTTTATTAAAAAATAAGTTGTGCATACATATGCAATTGCAAGTTAATTGCATTGATGTAGATAAATGAAATTAATGTGAGTTGGATTGCAAAAAAGTTGAGTTGGCATTAAAGAGCACAAATGCAATTACTTTTAAATTGTATTGATGTGGATGTCCTTAGTGCGATTAGATGTAATTGGTGAGAGTAAATGATTTTTTATTTTGTATTTTCTAATTAGTTTATGTCTTCTTAGTTTAATTCAAATTTCAAAAAAAATTACAGAGGGACACGTTTAATATTGCGACCTACACAAAGATATTCATTTTTAACATATTTCTAGTATGGTTTTTTCAAATAACTCATTACCACCGGGGTATCACCTAGTACAATTCAGTAAACCTTCCATGTTTAACTCAAATTTTGAAATTTTTTGCTCATAACGAACGGTTTCAGCATGATTTATTATTATTTACAATTTTTTTTCTAATTCAGAACCACGTATACAATCATTCTCTAATTTTATTAATGTTTCAAAATGATCCAAGACGTGTTCTTGTATTTTAAAAAGTATGTATAATATTCATTATCTAACTATTAAGTATGTCACGCCTCAGTGTAACCTGCAAAAACATAAATCATTCATCTGGTTTTGAATAATGTTATGTGCAAAGTTCATTGCACAAAATGTTCTTTTCGACAATTGCAATGGTGAAGCAATAACGCCAACTTCAAAAGTTCATTTACTCGTGAAAACACTCGTTGCTTTTTTAGCAGAACCATTTCTCTACAAATTCAAGATTTAAGATATCACTAGGTGGCGATGCCCCGCCTTGTCGCGGGGCGGAGATGGCCTATGGGTAAGTATTATGTGGCCCATTATGGTATTTTGTTAATATTATTAATCTAAAATTAATTTTTCGTTTATGATGTTGTTAGTAATATTGACTTAGAAGAGATATATGGCGCTTAATATCCAATTATTTTTTAAAAAAATTTGGCTAGTAAATGATATTTAGCTAAACCCAAGTAGACTCATTGATTATAGCTATGGCCTATGGTATGAGTGACGTATATATGAGTTTGAAAGTGTGTAGATGTAAGTTTATATTCCTTTTGCATCTCTCTAGAGTATTTCTTTTTCATCCGGGCTAGAATTTTCAACAAATATACATGGAATGTTTAGCTAGATATCTACACATATCAATCCCATAGTGGAAAATGACGACTTTCCAATAAGTAATAACCATATATATTTATTTTTAATTGGGCTCGACATTGAGTTGAAAAAATTTAGTGGTTCATAGGTCAATTGTTAGTTTTCTAGACTGTTGGTGAGTCATGTATGGACCCGTTCATACTTGTGATTATAATACATAAAAATAGTATACTAATTAGGGTTAGACGAAGAAGGCAAAGAAAGAAATAAAGGGTTATGGAAGGCGAGTGAAAAATGAATGAAAAGGAATTAGATTATAGAAAGGTTTTGACCAATTCTTTTAGTTAGCCGTCAATACAACATTCAACCCTTTTTACCGTAGCAATTTATCGACACTCGCTTATTTAGATGTCGCATATTTTATTATATGTAGTTAGTAGAAGTTTGTTTAGTACCCCGTAAATGTACTCAATGAGTTTATAAATTCGGTCTTGCAATATTTTAGAGTTGTATCTCTTTTATCATTTATTTAATGTTTCACATAATGAGCAAATATAACATGGTCGAATCTTCTCCTATAGTTGATTGATACAATATCTTGTATTGTACAAACTAAATTTATAATTTTATGTTATGGTGGATTAGATTCATGAATTGGTTCGAGAGGATTGGTGGATTGGATCCATAGACTCAAGTGAAATATAAACATTTGACAAATATGTAAATTTGAAAAAATTGTAGGTATGAAAATCTCATAAAAATAGATACCAAAACATAATTGTTCAATGCTTATATATTAAAATTAAATTTCGGGTATCAAAATATAAAATTTATATTATAGTAACTAAGTTGTGATTTAATTAAATTTGAGGTATCAAAATTTATATTATTTGGCAAAGTAACCTAAATTTCACTTTATATATATTAATATTTAGAGGACTCTCATTAAGATAAAGAGTTAGCAAGTTGCAACATTTTTTCATCAAAGTCAATAAATGAATCATCTATAGATTTAACATGCTACATAACAAAGCATTTTCGTATCTATCAACTTCCTAGGATAAATGGTGTTTAGCTTAATGGTGAAATGCTCTTCTTTGATAAGGACATCCCTTGTATAAATCTCTATAAACAAAACACATCTATTAATTTTTTTCCCTGAGATGTCTTGTTTGAATTTCCCTATTAACAAAACACATCTAGTATCTTTTTTTCTTAGGTGTTTCAAATTTCTAAGTGTTGTATAGGACATATCTAATATTCAAATGGCTCTATCAGCCCAACAAAATATTATCCTCCTGGTATAGACTAGTAATGTATTTCTCACTTTTAATTTTTAATTTATCTTTGTTTTAAAATATATCAAAGTAAATGCAATTTTAAATTCTATTTTTTGTGTACATAAAATTTTGAATTCCGACCTAAAATGGAAGAGATATAATCGTTAAATTAACGCTTTCTGGCACCTATAATTACAAATGACCCCAGCAGTAGCAGCAGCATATGCAACAATAAAAATCCTTTCACACGTCTGGGTAGGCAGATGTGTAAGACTCTATCAAATGGGGTATTCAGTTCTTGCGCTAACAATGCACGCCCAACAAGTTTTCCCCCGCACAGACATAAAAGCACTGGCGTACACCTAGTGCCACAACCTGTTACAGCTACTAACCCAGCAAGCTCTCTGTTGTCCATTGGTAACTAACTCAGAAGGACTTACCCCGTCAGAAATTGGCAATAACGAAACAGAATATTAGCAGCAAAGAACCACACAACTGAAACACCTTCAACGATGTATTATCCAACACAAAACTTTTAAAACCCTCATTGCCTTGCATAATCTAAATAAGGTACCTGGGCCGAGAACTTGTGGAATTCGAATGACGTTTGCAGATGTAGAGATGGCAGCTATGCCTTCTAGGACTGATCTTCCTTCCTCTGCTGCCTTCTTGCCCTCCGCCCGTATATATAGGATCCACCATTCCGGACTACATTTGCAAACTCAAATTCTACAGCATCTGCATACTCAACTACCGCTAGCGCCATGGAGACACCAGCAGCACCAGTGTTGAGGATGGCTACCTGCATTCTTCTTCTACTCGTGAGCATTAGCACCCAACTCAGCATGGCTTCAGGGCACGATACTCCGAAAGACATGGAGACGAGGTATCGCCAATGGCTGAGCAAACATCGCAGGAAGTACGGGAGCAAAGCTGAATACAATCACCGGTTTCAGATCTACCAGTCTAACGTTCATCTCATCGACCACATCAATTCTCAGAATCTGTCTTTCAAGCTGACTGACAACAGGTTTGCTGACCTCACCAACGACGAGTTCAAATCGACCCACCTTGGTCTTCGGCGTCCTCTGGATACCGCAGACCAGAAGGTGCACGCTGAGTACTCTTGTGGACGTTTGCCAGCTGGAGTTGATTGGAGGAAGAAAGGTGCTGTTACGAAGGTCAAAGATCAAGGCCATTGTGGTATGCATCAAGCTCTCTTTCCCTCTTCATATTACGCTTACTTCCCCACATCTTTCAAGTAGCCAGAAGCAACGTTAATCATAAGATCTTATGGACCACAGAGATGCTAATACTTAGATCACTAATCAAACGATGCTGGATTTTATAGAAAATTATTGAATAAGAATGTTACTTAACAGCCTTATATCAATATAATACTACCAAGTACAGACCAACTGCCAACTTAATTTATTATTATGTGCCAGATTGACCTAACATAAACACACGAATGAAAGAGTCTAAGAATCAACCCCTAGGTCTATAGGTAAACGTAGATAGCATTTGGCTTGAAGGCAAGTTAAGCAAATTTCTGGCTCTAGTTCTTACCAGCACACGATAAAATTTTGGCTGTTTCCTCTCTGTACAGGAAGCTGTTGGGCATTCTCTGCTGTGGCAGCTGTGGAAGGCTTCCACAAAATCCAAACAGGCAAACTGCTGACTCTTTCAGAGCAAGAGCTCATTGATTGTGATGTCGGTGGTGACGACGAGGGCTGCCATGGAGGGTACATGGATACAGCATTCTATTTCATCGCGAAGGTTGGGGGGCTTACAACAGAGAAGAACTATCCCTACAAGGGTAAAGATGGCAGTTGTGACGAAATGAAACTGAAAGATCATCCTGCAAAAATAAGCGGCTACAAGATGGTACCTGGTAACAATGAGACAGCCCTCCAAGCAGCCGTTGCGGAACAACCCGTCTCTGTTGCAATCGATGCAAATGGTATTGAATTTCAACTGTATTCAGAAGGAATTTTAACTGGATCCTGTGGATCTCAACTCAACCATGGAGTCACGGCAGTTGGGTATGGAGTGGAAAAGGGCACCAAGTACTGGATTGTGAAGAACTCATGGGGCGCTGCCTGGGGAGAAGACGGGTATATCAGAATGGAACGTGATGTTGAGGAGGAAAGTGGTCAGTGTGGCATTGCCATGGATGCATATTTCCCTGTCTAGCTAGGGAGGAAGAAGATGATATCTACCCTGGGAAGAAGCTCATCTAACATGTATACGCCTTCCAGAAATAACATGAAGAAACCGATTAAAAGGACACTACAAGTCCCATGTATGTATTATAATAAGTCACTGGAAGTAGCGAGAGGGAAATGTATTATCGAGGATCATTAATATGAGTAAAAAAAAATATTTCCTTGAGTTTCAATTCGAAAACTTAGGCAGAAAATTTCTGATCTAGTTAAACCAGCTTAACAGACTCTCAACGATGAAGGTTCTCAACCATCAAATTCATTGAACACTCCAGCATGATCCTATTCCTAAGGACAGACTGATTTGACTGAAAATTTTGTGAAATACAGCCCATCGGATCTCAACTAACCTGCGCGATAACAAGGCATGCAAAGCTATGTTCAGGGGGAAAACGGGTGGTGCAGAACTCGTAAGGGTGTAAGCGAGAAGACAGTCGTAAGTAAGCAGTGTTGCGGAGATACCGGGACCCTGAGAGGGACGAAAGGACTGCAAAATTCAGTCGATAACTTGAGTTCTGACCTGTAGCGGGGAAGTGGAGAGGAAAGAGGAAGGATTTGGGTTCTTCTGGGAATGCTTGAGGAACTCAGGTCTGGGATTTCTTGATAGGTCCTCTCCTCAACTGCGGTTCTAAATCTAATGGCTTGTTATAATCGCAGTGGCAAGTGGCAACAATTGGGCTATGCGAACTCCCTCGCGGCCGAGCATTTCTACTATTGATGTTTTAATATTATTATTAGAATTATTAAACCATAAATTATTAGTTAGAATTATTAAATCACAAGTTTGCACAAATTTCCATAAAAATCCGGCTACTGTTCCTTACGAAAAATACGGGAATCACTATTCACAAGGGAGTTATTGATTCTCTGCGGTCAGATTTACATGAGCCTACGTTAATCTTCATTGGGCTGGCCAAGTTGCATCATTGACTTTACATTAGATACAAAGACTTAACATCAAACCGGCTCCCCCTGATCGCTTTCTTTTCCATGCAATAAAAAAAAAAAAGATACATTTCCTGTGACAATAAATATTAAAATAACCAATACACAAAAAAAAAAAAAAAATCAATTGAAAAATTGAGGGTCTTGATTTCCCGTATTTCTCACCTCCCGAACCAAATGAACTGCATGCCGGCGAACGACGACGGATATTCATTCCCTCACGTGATACTCTATTCATCCTCACCTTCTCCTTCCCTGAAGTTTCGGCTACCCGGGTCGTTTAGCCTGAACATTTCAGTAGCACAAAAAAATTAATCCGATTAATTGAGGATTTTCATGAGAAGAATCAATTTTGTGTGTTTTAAACAATCAGTGGCAAGCCATGCCGGATGAAAAAGAGACCATGAAGAGGCTGTGTGTATGTTCTCCAAAGAAGTCACGTACGGTAACCGGTTTTCTGTATGCTTGATCGAGCCTTTAATCATGTCGGGCTGCCAGAAGTATCTTTCACAGGCTTCCACAATAATGCTTCGGCCCATATCATATGTAAGGTGAATCATCGTTTTACTTTCTGAACATGTGATGTGAGAGGAGACCATTGATTACCAAAGCATTTAGAATTTCAATGGATTGAACTTGAATCATCAACAGATAGTGAAAAACAAGACAAACACAAATCTATAGCTATTTACCTGGGTTGTTTAAACCAGCAAAATAGCGGCAGCAGCTTGGATTCCCTGGCTGTACTGTTGTAAACTCCGTGGATTTCACAGTTGGAAAATATGGTGATGAGAACATGATGTTCAAATTGAACGACCCTGTATTCAACAGTAAGGACCAAATCATTAAGGGAACTCGAATTACTGTTTTGCTTCCATTAACTTCCAAGTGCAAGAACCACGGGTAGAGCTAATGTAGAGTTGGTTGGACCTATAGCCAAAAAACGGATTGTCGAAAGCAAGAAGGAAACATAGAGATTAGGGCCATAACCCATGTCCGGAAAGATAGTCAGTGACTGGAACCATCAACTGGCGCACTTGATCAATTGAGTTGGCATTCACTTCTTCTCCTCCTCTTCCTCCTATTACTTTCTCCCCTGTTTTAGTACCCAAAAGAACAAGAAGTCAGAAAAACAGAGCATTAACTTGCTACTGGAATTACTCAGCTGGATCTTCATCTTTCCAATAGATTGAGAAGGGTTTCTATAATTTGTTTTCTTTACCAATTTCAAAGAGAGATGTTTACTGATAAAGAATTGAAGATGAGGTGAATTATACATGAACATGATGAATGGGCAAAAAAGATGTGTGCATGAACTACAAGTGTCTTTATTTGCCATGGAAAAATGCCACCTGGCTGTATGTAATGTCCAGACATCCTCTACTTTTGAGTCTTTCCCAAGGATCCAATTCTTCTTAGACGAGGCAATATAAGGAATTTTCCCTTCTTTGATGGTTCAATTAGAATGACCGACTCATTCATCATTATCTTATCAGTTTTGAAACAAGATTCTATCACTATATACCTTCCAGTGTTGTAACAGTACTCCATCATCAATGAAAAAATTTCGACAACAAAACGATTAACCGGTTAGCAATTACCTTATTTGTATACTACTAGAAAGGTTTCAATATTAAACAAGAACTTTGTTACCATTTAACCCAAATTAATATCAGCATGACCTTTTGTACTAAGCACATATATACATTATTTTTTAGCGCTCTAAAACCGTGTAAACAATTTCTTGCTGCTTTGGGCTGGCTGAAGAAAGAAAATGTCCATTGAAGGAAAAGTTGTTTATTTGAAGTTTATATCGTTCTAAGTAATAATGAAAACGAAAGGTTGATTTACCAAACCAAGCCACAATAACTAACTTTTGACAAATTCAAAATAATTTTTTAACAATTTATCATGATTATTCTTTGTTGTAGATCGTGGACCAATTAACTGAAAGTCATAATTACTTCGTACAAGAAACAAAGAATCTTGAAAAGTTGGTTCGGTACTTTTTTTACAATGTAGTTTAATGATTTGTGAAATTAAACTTTATTGTAATTTATGTGAAAAAAGAAAGAAAAACAACAATTACAATGAAAATATTATAAATATTAAAACGAAAAGAAGAGACGATCGCATAACATCAGTAAACTAGGTATTCCGTTGCGGAGCACGGGTCAAATAACTAGTTATAAATATTAAAACGAAAAGAAGAGACGATCGCATAACATCAGTAAACTAGGTATTCCGTTGCGGAGCACGGATCAAATAACTAGTATCCAAAAATTATCATAAATCGAGATTACTGTTCCTTAAGAAATAATCGGAGGTACCATGGGATTCGAAGGATTCACTGCGGGCGGATTTACCTAAGCCCGAGTTCCCTTCTTTGGGCTGGCAAATATTGATCGTTAGATCCATTGTTAATTCCCTTGCAAGCCCGAGTCCACGTAAAATCGTCCATACCTGACTTGATTCTCTTTTCTCTTTTCGTGTTCCATGCGTCCCCTCATCGCCTCTCTCCTCTTTCCATTCAACCTCTCTATACTTCAATCCAATCGAAGAAGATATTAGATAATCATCTCCTTGCTAATCCTTCAAGCACTGCTGTCTCTTTCTCTCATTTCTCCTATGCTCATATAAAAAGCATAGAAATCAATTGATGAAGAACACCGACGGGAAACGTCACGACTGGAAAGAAAGCTTACTAGGTGGAGGTCAGTGGTGTATGATGTGAATTAGATGGTTGTCTGTTGAAACATGAACAAGTTTTAAATAAGGTGACTCTTGCGGTTTTTCCAAACTAATTGGCATTTTAGCATGTTAATCTGTAAGTTTATCAGACTCTTGAAACTTCATTTACTAGGTTTTTATCCAATTCCAAAGATCTTTAAGGTCTGCAGTATGAATGTGGATCAATGAATGTTGAGAATTCAGTAAGCAGTTGGAATTTATTTATTTGATTTGTTAGGGGAGTATTGTTGGAGGCATTTATTCATGACTATTTCTTGGAACGGCAATACACTTCGCTGGATAATTAACTGAGCAATGCTTCTAGGATGAAAGAGATGATTAATCAGAGCAAAGTGAGCTCTGATTCTCGAGTTTTATGACTTTTTCTTTGATGTTGTTGTCATTAAGAATAGAGGTATAGGAATGCCCAGATTAGTTCTTAATGCCATCAGATAGCTCCGGCAAGAACCTCTAAGCAATAAGAATAACATATTACCCCAGAAACTATTTCCACTATGACATGAAGTTACTAGGTTGTAACAGACAAGTAATATCTAAAACATGGTAAAGCTTCAAAAGCAGCTGGCAGAACTTTGAGAACATAAAGCATGGACTATTTGACAAGGCAAAGGTTATCAGTTCTTCATATTCCATCCTTATACCAAAAATATTATTTATCTAACAAGACAAGGGCTAAGGAACAAAATAAAAGTAGTGAATCATGACATTAAATTATCTTGGTGATGGTACTTAATGTATAATGCTAGGTATGTGCATAAGAATAAGACGACCATGAGATGTGCTTCTTCATTTGTTAAGCTATGAATACAGACTTGACATCCTATCTTAACATGTATGCTTTCTCATTGTTTTATGATTTGAGGTTCTGTGTAATAAGGTACTTTCATTGCTTCCTATGTCATTTCCAGATTTTCTTCCTTGACGAAGTCGATAAGGTTTCCTGGGGTGATTCCCTCAAGAGTTTATGCAATGTTTGATCTATGTTTTCCATAATTTTTATTCATCTAAATGAAGTGTAGTGATCAAATTTTCATCTATATTTACGACCTCTTTCACATGCATAATGCAATGGAAATTGGACCTTAAATTTCATGGATTGAGTGGATGTTGGGGGCTTCTGGTTTTCTTATGCTCTGCTACTGCTGAAGCTCAGCTAGCAGATTTGTTTCTCCACCTGCCTTTTTTTCTTGGTTGTGTAATTAAAGTCAATCTTTGTACTTTTCTGTTGCCTCTAAGAAATGGATATCTGTCTCACGATAATCTTAAAAAAACTATGTAGTTTCAATGTCTAATTGTGTTAGTTTAAACTATATAAAAAAGAGTTAGTTTACATTATAACATAAACATTAATCGTGATAGGTTTAATTGGTTAACTGAAAGTGACAAGAGTGCACGATCTACCCTCTCTTTGAACTCCCACAATGACGAGATTCACTATAAATGTACAATACAAGTTAATGTTGTTAACCACAAATCATCAATTTTTTATGATAACTGTCTTTTATAATATCTAATTGGTCAACTGCTTTGAAAAACTATTAGGTTCCACTATAAAGCGTTGGCTAATAGCAACCAGTCCATTTAGTCACTCCGCTACGGAGCGCGGGCCAAATAGCTAGTACAACTTAAAGTTGTACCATAACATGAGATGTATAAATTTATATTGTACCATAAAAGAAGTTGTATCATTATGTTATGGTAGAACTTTACAACTTTAAGTTGTACCATCACATAAAGGTACAAGTTCAAGGTGTACCATAAAAGAATTTGTACAAACAATATAGGTATAATCTAAAATTGTACAATAACGTTAAATGTACAATTTCAAGTTGTATCATAAAGGCAAAAACATATAACACCAATACTATATAGCATTGTAAAATTCCTCCTCGCGGCCTCTCCCCATTAGGTACCGCACGGTGTAGCTCCCTCGGCCAATATATCGTTCATTCGTTTGTTAGGTTGTGGTTCGAGGAAGGATAGGTGAAACTATACCCCTCCAAGCGAACACATTAATATAAGGCAAAATACACTTATTTAGCCAAAAACTTCGACAGTTTAGACAAATATAACCATTTTTGGAGAAATATAACAAATAGCCATTTCCGTTAATTCTTTGACGGTGTTAACCAAATTTCTGACTGGACTGACGGAGTGGCTGAGTTGGCGACAATTAATCAATTAAAATGTGTAGGTGAAAAGTAAATATAAATTAAATAAATATTTTTAATTTTCTCTCATCTCTCTCTTCTTTTTTTTTTTTTTGTAAGATCTGTCCCATCTCTTTTCCTTCTCCTTCCCCTTGCCAAGAGGAATCTCTTGTTCAACAAATCATCTTCTTCAAATCCGAGTTCTTCCAAATCAAGATCAGCAGCTTCAACGACGGGCAGGGAGGCGACCATCGAGACAGCCGTTATTTCTGTTTCTCTTTGCGGCGATCGTAGTTGCTATGCACAGAAACCAGCGCCGCCCTTCTTTCTTTTCTTCCTCGTTTCAAGATCCATCGACAGCGACAGAAGCAAAGAGAAGGATGAGGCAAATAAAGCAACATCGCGACCGCCATAAAAATCGATTTGACTGCATTCTTTTCTTCTTCCTCCATTTTGAACCATTTTGAACCTAGTTCTACTTTCATCCATCAATCGCTTTCTTATTCCTCCCCTAATTGTGTCCTCCCTTCTAGGTTCCCAATCCTTACATGATGCTCGATAAACCCAAATCGTCTACCGTCTTTGATTGAGACCAGATTTGCAACCTGCCGTAGTCGTCGTCGGAGCTTCTCCATTTGCGGCTAGTCTATCATAGGCGGCGAGGCAGGGAGTGGTCAAGAATCGGGGATGGATTTGATTCTGGTTAGAATCTGTGATTACCATGGAAAAGGTTATTAGTCATTTAGTTGGGTGGCTGTAAGGAGTTTGGAGAAACAGAGGATATGATAGACAAGGGAGGCTAGCTAAGAAAAAACAAATAAGAAAGAGAAATTAAACCTTAGACTTAATGGTGGTTTCGTCTCTCAAATGCATAACTTTGGGCATTTTTTAAGATAGAGAGAAGGAGAATTGGGGCTAGATTTGATTATGGTCTGGGCATTTTTGAAGATAGAAAGAAGATGATACTAAAGAGAGAAAAGGATTTCTAGGAAGAACAAAGCGGAATCATTATTTCTTGTTCGTTGATGGATACGAGAAAAGCAAAGAACTAGTCATTGTTTTTCTTTTTTATGATTTTTTATGTAACTTAATTAATAAAAGATAAATCAAAATGATGTGGCAATGATATTGATGACTTGTCACTGACGTGTGTGATGATTTGGCATCCTAGTCAACTTAACGCTAACTTAACTGACGGAGTTTTTAACACCGTTAAGGTTTGTAACGGAAATGGCTATATTTGTCATGAAACTTTCAAAATTCTGGCTATCTTTGGTATTTCGCCAAAAGTTGCTATATTTGGCAAAATCGTCAAAGTTTTGGCTATCAAGATGTATTTTGCCTTAATATAACGGTTAAACAATGGAAAGGGTTTTTTAATAAGTGACAGGGTATTTTGGGTATTATGAAGATTTAAGAAGTATACAAACGGGACTTATAAACAGTATAAACAATACAAATATACAGACATTACAAACTAAAACGACAAAACATACAAATAGATTTACAAACAATACAAAACATATAAACTAAACTAACAATACAAACTAGACCGACAAACAATACAAAATGAAAAAACAACCGGGTTGACTTTGGAGACTCCATCCCTATGTAGAGGGGTTTCGACCCAAAGTCAACCCGTTTGTTTTTTACATACAAACATTACAAACATGGTTGACAAAAATGACAAACTAGACGGACAAGCCATACAAAATAGAAAAACATCCGGGTTGACTTTGGCGGCTCCATCTCTATATAAAGGAGTTTCATCCAAAAATCAACGAGGTTATTTTTTAAACATAAATAACATTACAAACATGGTTGACAAAAAAATGTCAAACATTATAAAAGAAACCCACAAACATTACAAAAATAACAAAGCTTACAAAAATTATAAAATAAACCAAAAAATATTACAAAGCATACTAACAGTAGAAAATAACACTACTTACAATACATATTAGTAAAATTGTATTACAAATCAATGAATACAAAATATAAAAATCGTAACATAAAGTATACAAACAAGACTAACAAATATTATAATCAAAATATATACAAATTACTCATATAAATATTGCAAACACAATAGACAAAAATAACAAAATAGAATGATAAATGATACAAACCGAATTGATATAAATATTACACACTAGACTTATTAACATTACAAAATAGGTTGACAAACATCACGAACGGAAAATCCTCCTCCGTCGTCTGTGTCGCTGGAAAGCCTCCTACACCGTCGCCGAAAGAATCGACCTAAAAGCGCTCTCTGTGGCAAGGTTGTCAACCCACGAGTCGACCCGGTTTGATTAGGTGAATATTTTTAATGGATTGATGGATTGGATTGGTGGATTGGATTGTGAATTGTCACCTCTACTAGTTGTATTGTATGTATATTTATTTAGAAGATGGGATAAACTTCCGTAAAATGGTCAAACTAGTTGAACCAGTATTTAAGAAATATACTTAGCTTGACTATTTTTTTTAGTATTTGAATTGATGTCTAAATATAATATATAAAATATGGGTTTTCCATAGTTTCTCCTACAAGTTCGGGCTAATCCAGGTTAAACCGGGCTAATCCAATCATTACATTAACCCTCCACCCACTTGCTCAATTGGGTCAATAGGCCAAACCAGGCTAACAACTTTGCTCTCAAGAGCTTCATGGAAGGGGGGAAATTGCCCAACAAATGGACCACCGCCAAAAATTACCGGGACGCCGGATCATTGCCAGCGAGAAGAGACAGTACGGGGACATTGGAAATTTCCCAGCCGATGGTAAGTAGGCGACAGAAACCTAGAAGAATTTTTTTATTATTTAATAATTGAAAATTAAAAATCCATGTAATTACTATATTAACTTTCATTAAATAAAATTATCTCGAACCATTAGATTTAAATGAGAATGGATGGTTGAGATGCACTTAGTCATATAACTAAGCGAACCCCCTTAATTACCTGATCTTAGCCCTTGTGGTTCTCCTTTCCTTTTATTCTAAGTTGTCATTTCGCTCACATATTTGTCCAACTATGAACCTGGATAGCAATTGGCAAAGTAGCACCCACTTCTAGGAATCACGTAGAATAATTCAGAGGCTGATAACCTTCCAACCAAATCGGAAGTCGTATATCAACGATCTAATTGAGGTTTATAAACAAAAATATAAGCAGTTCTGAACATCTCAGAATCCATTCCTACTTTACAACTCTTCGCTCATATTCGAGAGGAACCTATTACGAGAAGAACAAAGTATATATTTTCAAATGTGGGACGGGGCTACTAGGTGTGGATCGCATTCGGCTGGTGGGATGGTTCTCTTTGACCCAGAGAGGAGGATTCTGCTGGCTAGAGGGGTCCAGTTTTCTCAATTGGATGACCCAGGGATGGTGGAATTGTTTGTGCTTAGGGAAGCTATTATTTGGTGTTTGGAGCAAAGCTTGTCGGAGGTCCGCTTTGAGGGCGATGCGAAGGTGGTTATTGACAAAATTAATCAAGCTGATACGAGAGATAGCAGGTTGGGTGTTGTTCTGGAAGAGATTGTTCATTACTTTCGTACTCAATCTGGTTTTAGTGTGCGCTTTGTAGGTCGGGAGAACAATAGGGTAGCTCATTTGGTAGCTAGAAAAGCCCTTTCTTTGTTTCCGACTATGAGTCGTTTTTTTGATTTCCAGTCCTGGCTGGTTTCCAGGGTGTAACTATCTATTTTTTGATCAATACATGATATCTTTTGACAAAAAAAAAGATAATAATAAAACTAGGGCGATGTTTAGTCGTTCAGTTTTTAAAGTCTTCTCAGCCATTTATGTTGTGCTACTCTACTGCCTACCACCAATGGCTTTGTCCAAGTTCTCATTTTTCAACTTTAACTAACCTTCAATAATTGCATAGGACAATGCATAGGAATTCCTATGGATAAATGGAGTAAACGTGAGAGAGGTACGTAGTTGCAGAATATAGTTTTGCCAAAAAGAAAGGGAAGCAACATATCGTTCATGACCCATTTTCTTAGCTTTAATGCGCCTCTTTAATAAATTCAAGATCACCACCGAAGCAACCAGAAACCCTTGCAAGAGTAGTAACATCTTCAACCCTGAAAAGGGATTTTACCAAATGTAGCCATGTTTTACATTATGCTACTTCAACTGCAAGCGTCACTGCTGCACTGCCACTAACCAACACTGTATTGCTCACATATTAGGTTACATGCAACTTCTAGCAATAGTTCCTCCAAACCACCACTGTGAGTCCATTCTTTTGATTTTGCATCTTTGGTTGTTTTAGCATCGAGGTAGGAGAGATAGTTTCCACTTTCTAGACTTGTACTCCAAGCTTACTCACCCCCTGATGCATGTGTTGTGGCAGTTGACTCCGCTTCCATATTCATCACTTCCATCACAGCAATCTACAATAGAAATCCTCCCCCCCCCCCCCCCCCCAAGAACTCAATATAGTAAAGCGGTAGCATAACAAACGAACATATGGTAGTTGTACTTTGAAAGTTTCTTCTTGCGACGATGGTCCATCATAGTCCATAATCGTCTTTGTTGGTTGCTTTGTTGTGTTTGTTGTGGTTGCTCCTCGATTTGACGTCATGGTTCTTCTCTTGTGACTTGTACTTCTTCTCATCTAGGTGGCTTCGGTTTCTTCGTGGTTGATGGCTAAGAGGGGTGAACCTCTTACCTTGTGGTGCACAACCATGCATTCTAGTTGATGTTATAACCACTCATTCTAGCGTTTTACCTTTTCCACCTATCTTTTTATATACCAAATTATGTTATGTTTGTGTAACAATAATGTGTTGTATTTGTAGATGAGGTGAACTTCTCATTTCTGCCAATTTCCACCTACTAATTTTATCAGGAAACTTGGTGTGTTGCAAGTGTTCCTCTATGTGTTATTGTTGTACGGTTAGATAGTGGTGCAACTGATTGATTACATATGCATAAAGCATTGTAAAGGATTCTTATGAACGACTGCTTTCTCCTTTTTAATTTATAGATTCTTCTTTTCTACAAGTTTTGGACTGAATCGTAAGATTTTGTTGTGGTTCATGTTTCCTGTAGAGTTTCATTTCCGTGTTTGGTGTAAATGTAAGTTTCAATCTGGCCAGATGATGAAGACTTATCTATGAGGATATGAAGGACTTTTAGGTCTACAGTTAACAGTGGTATAGATTCCAATTTCTTGATATGCAATGGCTCTCTATTTGATTTGTGGTGTTTCTGTATGGTTCTTCTTCATCTTCTTCAAATGTGGAATTAAATGAGTTTCTTCCATTGGATTTCCTGTGTTGTTCATTGATTTGGTTTACCTGAAATAAATTTGTTTTAGAATTTGCATTGTGGGTTTGCTAGGTTGCTTTAGATATGATTTCATGCTGTCTCTATTTTGCTAAACTGGAGTTGCACCTGCACCTGAAAGAAGGAAACTTTGCTTGCAAAATTATGGTGATTGTTACCACAAATCTATAGGTTCTAACTGGAAACTACAATGTTATTTGCTTGGAGTTGGGATGTCCTTTACTTCTGATCTTCCTTTTCCCATTAGTCCATGAGGTCATTTTGCGTGTTCTTTTTTTTTTCCATTGTTTCTTTTACTTAAAGCAAAGCCAACTATAACTATGCATGAGAAGGCATTAACTTTTTTTGTTGTGTTGGGTGTTGTTTTTGTCGATGTTTCTTTTATTTAAAAGGAAAGACGCCTATTCATAAGGTAATTAGTTGCACTTTCAACACTGTGAAATTCAAACCATTGACAAGAATAGGCTTAATAGTTAATACACTTTTATAGCCATAACTATTTAGTTTGTGACAAATATATAACCTTTTTGAAAAAGGGAAAAACTTAGCAGCATCCCAGTATGCAGCCAATAGCTGCTACCCCTCCACATGTCTGCCCGTTATTGGTTATCAGTTTTTTTTTTTTTTATTAAATGTGATGTCAATTAGTTTAGGTTTGGGAGAGAGGTAACGGAGCCGTCATCAACCCATGACATCCCCTCCCATCCATAAAATTTTGGCTCTATCTGCCATTCCCTAGCCTGACATAAACACATCAATTCACCATCTTTTAGTACTTTTACTACTCGCATGCATGATGCAACCGAAGCAGTAGTATGCAAAAGCTTCCTGTCAAAAAAAAAAGAAAAGCAAAAGCTAGAATGATGGCCTCAGTCGCTGTCCTAGCACTAGCAGCAAGCACCGGTAGTCACACGTCACCCGAAAAGCAGCATCTGTATTCTTAGCTTTGCTCTCGTACAAGATTTTGGAATAGATAAGAATTTAAAGTTCCAAAAAATTGTCTGACATAGGAAACTAAATTGTTCTAGGTGAACGGTACCAGATAAAAATATTTAGATACATCATAGATCCCCACTAAATAATGAATGTAAGTCTAAACAACTACTGTATTGAAACATAACGAAAATGGAAAAAACTTAATGTCACTTTATTCTACGTGAGATATTTATAGAAGAACAATGGTTGTCACTCTTGCGGATTATTGAAAGGAGAGTTCATTGCATCCTGTAAAATTAATTACGATAACAATAATATTAACATTAGTAACATTTTAATGAAATCAAATAAAATAGATAAAAGGACTAACTTCGTACCTGTAGCAATTGTGTATATGATATATTGTTCAACCAAATTGTAGAATCCAAGTTCTCTCCTGGTGGACTAATAATTGAACTTTGAGACTCATGTTCCACCTAAAATTTAAAACACTTGTTAGATATACAATTATTAGGATATGTTCACCTATAGTCCATTCATTTGATCGCATTTAGAGTACTTCGAAATATAAAGACAAAGTAAAACCTGATAATTTTGAATTTGCAATTCAGTTTTGCTTCCAGCAGCTTGTTGAGAACAATTAGTTTTCTGCTTCTTACCCTGTACATATAGTATTACATAACGACAGGTTAATGAACTAAGATAGTACAATAGTTATATTTTACAAAAGGAAAGAAAGATCGAAGTGAACCTGTGGTTTTGATTGAACTTTGTGACTTTTTCGGAGCTCTAATGCACCTTTGATCCTCCCTTTTGGTCGCCCTACCGTCGCTTTTGTTTTAACTCCAGCTACAACTCGATGGTCTTCTTCGTGATTGGAGCACAGTTCCTCAGGAGAAGTTCCAACATCTGAACATTTTCTCATTCCCTGCAAATCCTTTAGCAAATTTGAAAAAACTTCACTTGCATGCTCATACATTGCGTCATTCTCAGCTGCCAATGTAGATATCTCTCGAAAATTATAATGTAGATTGCAGTAACGTTTCCCAATAAGTTTCTCAGAACTTCCTTGCACTCGAACTGAACTTCTTAGGTCTCCATCCTTTGCATCCTTTGTCCATCTCTTTAATATATATCGTCTTGGGATTTGCTTTATATTTTTCTTGTCTAGAACCTTCAAAGCATGAGTACATAGAATTCCCACAAACTCAAACTTCTTGCAACTGCAATCAACTGCTTGAGACGATGACTCAAACTGGACAAAGTGCTCAGTGCCTCTACCTGCATATCTCACTTTATATTCTACCCGGACTTCGTTTTTGTTGATCTTATCAATAGTATAGTCCAAAACTTTGACAAACTCTTCTTGGAACATTTTAAATACTTTAGGAGTATACACCTTTGAAGCTTGTCTTAACATCTCAACATTTGCTTGTAACACTTGGATGGTGTCCCTCATTTTGAACTCTGCAAGTAGTTCCTGATACCTTCTATCTTCTACCAACCGAGCATAATGATCAAAAAAGTATGTCATATTGTGTTTTGGCTTCAAATACTTCTTCAACACACTATTGATCGATTCACTACGCTGAGTGCTCATCATATCAGCTGTAAACATGTGACGCCCATACACCATAGCCCACTTTTCTCTCATTGAGAATATCCCCTCCAACCATTCATTATTTCTCAAATTATACTTGGTAAGCATATCATCCCAACCTTTATACCACTCCTCTTCATCTTCATAGTCATATACACATGCACTAAAATCCTTAGCAAATTGGTCGGATGCATTGAACACATGACTCAAGTGTTTAGCAGCATTTTGATAAATATGCCAGATGCATAAACGATGATGGGATTCAGTAAATACCTCTTCAATGGCTTTGGCCATAGCAGCTGATTGATCTGTTAATATGGTTTTGGGTTGGTTTCCAGCCATTGCAGTCAAGAATGTTTCAAACAACCACTTGAAAGATGTGATTGTCTCATCATAAAGTAATGCTGCTCCGAAGATTACTGTATGCTTCAAGTGATTAACTCCAACAAATGGAGCAAAAGGCCGACCATATTCATTGGTTCTGTAAGTTGTATCAAAACATACAACATCACCAAAGTACTTGTAATCGATTATTGACCTGCCATCCGCCCAGAACATATTCATGATAAGATCATCATCATCAAGTTGCACCAAGTAAAAGAATGATGGGTCCTCTGCTTGTGCTTTACGAAAATAATCCATGATTGCCTGGCCATCTCCTTTAATCATTGTAGCCTTTCTCTTTGTACCAATATAATTTTGATAGTCTTTATCCAGAAAACCATTGTGTTCACGACCTCCATTCTGCGCTGCTAGTAAATCAATAGTTTTCTTGATTGATAATCCCGCTTTCTCAGCATCATCTGCAATAGCTTTCTGAGCATAACTTATCTTCCTATTGGACCTCAACATATGCTTCATCGGAGTGGGGGCTAGATCATGGTTATGATTTTCTTCAAAAGAAACAATCTCGAGCATGCCATCATTTTTTAATTGGCAGGTCATACGTGCTAAGCAACCTACTCTTAAAATCGGTCTTTCAAAGGCTACATGCTCACGCCTTTTATCAAAACCTTTTTTCCCTTGTTTTGAACAAGAATACGTTCTTCGCTTCACTTGGCCTTCTTTTGTTCGCTTGATTTGATGCTTCTTTACGCTAAAACCGACACTATGTGCATATGACTTATAAAATTCATAAGCATTATCATCTCCATCAAACTTCATCCCTATGCATGGTACTTCAATCTTTTCATTAATCTGGTTGATATGCTTTTCTAAAGTTTCTTTGGGAGTCCTAACATCTGTTCATCAGAAATATTACATAAGATAAAGAATAAACTCATGATAATCTACTTACTAAAAGTCATCGTTAATCATGAGACTAGAAATTCAAGCAAACAGAACACTCAATACACGTGTATCACCAAAGGGGAAAAATTGGCAGTAGTATAGATAAAATACCCAAACTGATTCATAGAACACAAACTGTTATAGAAAAAGGAAAAAGACAAAATAATTGATGAACACAATGTTGGTAAAAGGGAAAAACAATTCAGTAAATCGATGGTGGTCTCATGAAAAGGACAAACATGATAAAATATCCACCATTATTTTATTTTATGTTCACCCAAAATTTTCTTTTGGAAAAAGCAATTGATAAAAGAAACAAAGCTAACCTGATTTGGGAGATGACATGTCCACTGCATCCAACAGTAGCTGAAGCAAAAAAGAGCAGCTATGCCTGCGTAGGTTTTCGTGCGGCTGCTCCTTGTAAAATTTCCAATGCTGCTAGGAGAGAAAGTAAACCTAAAAATCAAAAGGTGTAAAGTAAAGTTTATTCAACTTTAAAAATTCCGTACCGTGTGTGATGACGGCTCCGTTACCTCTCTCCCAAACCTAAACTAATTGACATCACATTTAATAATAATAAAAAAAAACTGATAACCAATAACGGGCAGACATGTGGAGGGGTAGCAGCTATTGGCTGCATACTGGGATGCTGCTAAGTTTTTCCCTTTGAAAAATACACAAATATAGCCATTTTGTTTAAAAATTTAACGGCAATGTCACGATTGCTGACTGGACAAACTATTGTTGGTGACGTGGTAATTAATTTTCATCAATGTGGCATTGCAAGGTGGAATATGTTTCAAAGTTCATTAATACATAAATAAAGAACAAAAGGCCACTTTGCCCTTTTTACCCACTCTCCACCATTATTGCCGATTGACGAATGCTAATATCAATAGATCCAGCCATCCATCTTCATCCTCTTCTACTGCTTCTCTGCCATCAAAAAGGCACTTGACCACTGCAGGCGCAAAAGCCCAAAGGAGAGCAAGAGTAAAAAATTTCAGATTCCAAAATCCCTAAGCCCCGTACCCTGAATCCAATCAATGATGATGAAACTTGGAAATTTGGCCAGTACGACGAACTCGTTCTCCATCAGTTTTTGTAGCCCGAAACTAGAGATTTGGGCAAAGTACTATATTCCAAACGCTGCTTGCTTGCTTTAATTACTAGGATTAAGGATGATTGATTGATTCGGGAAGGGAAGGGAAGGAGACCAAGAAAAAAAGAAGAAGAAGCCTACTGCCCTCGTACAAACCCTTTCATCTCCGCTGCAGAAGAGAAAGACGATGATGACGACGGCGGTGAGTTAAGGAAGAAGTGCGATTGGTCGCGGTGGTTGTTGTGTGGATAGGGGAGAAAGACGACTGAGATGAGAGTATTAATGGGTTGATTGCTCTGTTCTTCGAGATATTGCTGGCTGGTTTGGTTATGGAGTAGAAGAAGAACTAAATCTAGAAAAGGAAAGCCAGGACTGAGCGTTGACGGTGGCGAGCGGGTTATGAATGGAGCGATTCAGATCCTCTCCCGATTTCTTCGTCGATGCTTTCTAGATTCAACCTAGTTGGGATTCAATGACGACGGTCGGGATTCATATCCTCCCTAGCTCTAATAAATCTGGTCGGCCAAGAGGGGTCGTTCTCCTCTCAACAGGGATTCGACAGCGTCTGTTGCTTATCGATTATCTATTCCAGAAAGAATAAAAAATCAAAGAGAGAGCAGTAGCAGAGGAAGAAATCGAAGATGTGGAGAGGGAGATGAAGCGGGCGATGGGGATTGGGGAAAGCAAAAGAGAAATAAAAAGTTAGCAATAATAATAAAATATTTTTTAATTAAAATTTTAATTTGACGTGACCTCCAACGTGGCGCCCAGGTGGCATGGCGAGTCTAGCTGGACATGTGTTGGAGCTTAAGTGGGAGCTAAGGTGGCATCCACATCAACGTCCTGCTAACGGTGTTAAAGTTTTAAACGAAAATGACTAATTTTGTCAAACGAGTTTCCAAAATGTGGCTACAAATACAACTGTGTATTTTTCAAAAAAGTAGTTATTATTGTCAAAAGCGTGATAGTTATGATTATGCACGTGAATTAGGCCATAAGAATACAACGAACTTAGTTTACCATCTACTGAATTGCCTGCCAAATGATCTTGTTGTTGCAAATTTAGTTGATAAGGAAACAATCTCTCTCTCTATACTCGTAGCAAATCTTTTGACTACACTTTCTCCCTCCTCCCTCCTTCTCCTCTCTCTATCTCGACGGGCGGTTGTTTGAAGTGAACATTAAAGATGAAGAGTGAATGAAGAGGGGATTTGCCGCTTTGTGTGTTCTCTCGAGTCTTGGTGAGAGATGCTAGGTTTTTGATTTGGGAGGATTGAGGAAGACACATCTCCTTTCATCCCATCGGTACATGATTTTCCCCCTGATTCATTACGTCAAACTGACACTGTTGAATCGTGAACCGGTATCAAACCGATATGGTCTAACCAACAACTTTTTTGGTTTTCACCGAATTCCAATTCTAAAGCTAAATAAATGGCTTCCTGACAGTCGACTGTGAGCATGGTTGTGTTGAACCTGGTTGAACCAGTTCTGGTCATGAAACTGGCATGAACACCAACGGTATGACCGAGATGAGCGAGTTAGGAATTCTAATGAAAGTGACATTGTTTTATTGAATTTAATTAATAAAAATTTAATTGATTATTTATTTCATGAATTTAAAAGTCAAAAACTTATGTTATTTGTTGGATTGTAAGTATATTGTCCTCAATTATGTTTTATATATGATTAAATTCATTGAATGTTAATGATTTTCACAATTTTACATATTTTTTTATACCGACATGAACCCACATAGACCGATTATAACACTAGTCGTACCATTTCACCTGACAAACCGACACATCGATATAAACCAGTTGTCCAACTGTGATTGTGAGGCCAGTTCCGGTCAGACCAGGTCCAACAGACCGGCCGGTTCACGATTTAACAACCTTGCTGCGTTGTCTATCCTTTCCTGGGAAATCTTCAGCACACAGCCAGTCTCTTTACGAAATTACAAGCGCCGCTCTCTCTCTCTTGTTAAATTAACGTCAAACCATTTAAAATTCGAAACCCTCCCATTCGATTCAATCCTTTCCTTTCCTTTCCTATACTGTACGAAAGTCAGATCCACATATCACATTCCCCTAGTCGTTCTAGTCTTCCAAGTTCCACCTTCAATAGATCTCGCATTTCGCGAGAGATTTGGATTGGAGATATAGAAAAATTTCCGGGGAATTACGGACTGCTGGTCTGGATCGATCATTGGTTTTCCTAATCATTCCTTTCCAGTAAACTAGGAGAACGACGACAATGGGGGCTTACAGGGCCGACGACGATTATGATTACTTGTTCAAGGTCGTGTTGATAGGCGACTCTGGCGTCGGCAAATCTAATCTCTTGTCCAGATTTACCAGGAACGAGTTCAGCCTCGAATCCAAATCCACGATTGGCGTCGAATTTGCGACTCGCAGCATCCACGTCGATGATAAGGTCGTCAAGGCCCAGATCTGGGACACTGCTGGCCAAGAAAGGTAATTGCCTTTCGGATCTTGAAAATTTCTTGCGTTCTCGGTTTGATTTGCTACCGTAGCTCTCACATTCCCTTCACGTAGGCAGATCTATGCCTTGAAAACGCTTAACGATTACCCGCCTCCGCCCTCTAATTTTTTTTTCTTACGGCTCGTCGCTTCATGATTTTTTCTTTCCCTTTTGCGTTGCTGTTTCTTTCGGGATTTGGGAAGGTTTAAGATTATTAGGGTTCATTTGCTCTTCATTTTTACATCTTGTGGAGTGAATTTTCTTGAGGTTTTGTGGGTTTAGGATGATGTTTTATACCGAGTATGATATTTATGATGTGGTCATCAAGCTGTTTCAACTGATTCTCTTCATTCTTGAGCCTGTAGAGTTTTGGTGCACCTTCAGTTTGGTTCTTTTTCATACTTATTTCTTCTTGGTTTGATGTTGTGTTTCACTTTAACCTTGAACTGTTAATTTGAGTTGTCACGTACGTCACCAGATTTTCTTTGCAATGTCGTCTCTGTTTGTAGGGTGGATTTTAGAGTTAACATGTTGAACTAGTGGTAATTATAGAATTAAATACTGTATATGAAGCATGTTTCATGCTAAAGTTGGAACTTGCTTCGTATGGAAAATTTTGGTGCATGGTTACTGTTATAAAGATCTTGCTTCATAAGGGTCTTGGGGATCTAATCTTAGAAATGTAAAGACTGATTTTTGCTGTTTCTTTTCGAACTGTGTTGAAGCTTCGGAATGGTTACTAGAATACTGGATCATTAGTATGCCAATAGTATTCTGTATTCTACCAACGAAATTGCATTGTAATACTTTACTTTACAACGGAACTGTGGGAACTGTCAAAGATTTGTTTTCTATTATCATAGGGCACTTGTGGCAATGGAAGAAGATGGAAACCTCATTTGCCAGTTCTTCCTGAATTTTAATTTTAAAGTGCATTGATAGAGATATATTTTAATTTTCATGTCTAAGTACCAGTTTCTTTTGTAAGAGATAATGGCTAGCTAGCTATGCACATTTGCTGATGCAAAGCACTACGTTAGATACTATGCTATGTTTATCCTTTGACCTTCAGGCAGCATACACGAAAATATATTGTTTTTTTTCGTGTTATCAATTGATTTGAGCTCAAGGCAGGAACTCCTATTGTGGTTGCCTATTCATTGATCAGTGTTGTTCCCTTTTAGCCTTCATGTTGTATCTAATCCTGGATAGATGATATATACCCTCTGCACCTGCACCTTTTGTAATATCTTCGGCTCAAGTATGGGCGTGATCTAGGCTGTCAGACTAGTTTAGTTTGCTTGATTCTCAGTCAGAAACATCAATTGCAAGATGTATTACATCTTTATATTCGAAATTGTGAATCTTTGTCTGCACATCCGTCATGTGTGCTCGGTAAAGAGTTTGCAAAGTTGTCTCTCTAGCGCAACACTAATTGATTAGTCTGTACGAACTCCTTGATTTTACTGTTTTTTCATGCTTGTATAAACTGAGGCATCAAAAGATAAGCTGATATTACCCCTGTTTCGGATGCATATTTTTTAGTTTGTAATCTTGTCAGTTTTTGATAACTCCATACAAGTTCTGTTTGTTCTTCCTACTTTTATTGAGCTTTCCCTCTTACCTCTATATGCCATTTGTTTAAGTTCTGGCTTCAGCATCTCTTTGCCACTTCTGTTTCCTTAGTAGATGTAGTTCTTATCTTTTGCTGTAATGATCCTTCAAGTCGGGTCCTGATTAAAAAGCTTTGCTGCTGGCAGATACCGGGCAATCACCAGTGCATACTACAGAGGTGCAGTAGGTGCATTGCTTGTCTATGATGTCACCCGGCATGTTACTTTTGAAAATGTGGAGAGGTGGTTGAAGGAGCTCAGGGATCACACAGATGCAAACATTGTGATCATGCTTGTCGGGAACAAAGCGGATCTGAGACACCTTCGTGCTGTTCAAACTGAGGACGCCAAGGCGTTTGCCGAGAGAGAGAACACATTTTTCATGGAGACATCTGCACTGGAGTCCTTGAATGTCGAGAATGCATTCACTGAGGTGCTGACTCAAATTTACCGGGTTGTCAGCAGGAAGGCACTTGATGTTGGGGATGACCCAGCAGCCTTGCCCAAGGGACAGACCATTAGTGTGGGAAAGGATGATGTATCCGCCGTCAAGAAAGTTGGGTGCTGCTCGGCCTAATAGTTTGATAGTAATGGAAAAAGGTGTTGCCGGTATGAGTTTCTGATTAAGAATTTTGCAATTTCTGGCTTTGGAGAGAGAACATTGTTTCTGAAGTACATACCAGAATGTATTCTCAGTTCTCACTCTCGTATGTGGAATGCTCGGATGGCAAACTGTAGTTTGATGGCTAGAAAAGGAAGTGAAGTTGTAGAGTCGTGAAGAGAAGCTTTAAGGGTTGAGATCGTAGAGACTTTCACCTTTGGTTTGCATTTCCCTTGTCGCCTGAAATATCCCTACCGGCCCTCTGTATGGCCTTTTCATTTGGATAATTTTCTCATTTGAAGTGCTGTGATTTGTAGTCAGTTTACGACGATCCCTGTTCTTAAGCACACTTTGTTGGTGCAATTTAGTAAGTAAGCGGATTAATTATGTTCAAATGGAATCTGCCGTTTTTGTGTTAGATCTTCTAATATCGGAGTCTAAATATCGATTGCAAGGAATTAACAGCACGTACGGACTTGTGCTCTTTCCGTTTCAGACGGCAGCTAATTGTGATTGGGTTTTATGAGGATGGAATGATGGATCATGGTAATACCGTAACAAATCCATTATGGAGTATATAAGTAATAGTTATTGCATAGTTATTCCAGCAATGGAGTTCGTCGATTTGTAAGAAAAGAACTATAGATTGAGATGAGAATTAGGGTTAGGGATTGGGAATTGAGAAGAATTGGAGAAGAATTTGGGGGAAAGTGAGAGAAGGAGAAGAGGTAGAGATTTAGCGATTTCAATATTATTCTTTTCTTAATATGAGAATAGGAGTATTCTCTCTTAAGTAGGTGTTAACAAATAACAAAATACTATTCGACTAGGCTGACTCCTTTAACCCTCCCCACTCAGCCAAACCGTGTTTCTAATACAATTTGGCAGTTCCAGCCTTGATCATCTTTCTAATCTCCCACTTGAATACCGTCCGTTTGAGTCGTTTGGCTAATGTATTTGCCACCTCATTGTGTTGGGGGGGGGGGGGGGGGGGGGGGTTCTGACTTGTGATAAAATGTGTATTGAGGTTAGGGATGACAATGTACGAGTTTCTCTAAACCAATATCATTTTTTTTTCAATACTCATCCATACCTGCCCTATATTCATGTTTGAAAGGATGTTTTGGAATTAGAGATGACAATGGATATTATTGAGTTGGATTCTTCAAAATATCCAATGGTACCCTAGGATTATCAAAACATTCAAAATCCAATGAATCCAATGTACCCTAGGATTAACGAACTTAATCGCGAATGATTCCTCTAAAGACCCACATGCTTATAGTATCAAACGTTTTCCTAAAACTATATTATCATAAGGGTTAATATTTTCGTATGGCCTGAACTTTGACCAAAATAAACATCCTGGCCAATCTTTTAAATCTATAACATCCTGGCCCGAACTATACATCAAAATAAACAATTCGGCAAACCCGATGTTTGACCGTTAACTTGGACGGTCAAACGCGTTGACTAACGGTCAACGCGCCACGTCACTGCCACGTAACTGCCAAGTCATAAGATCTGATAAATATTTAATGTTTTTATTTTTTATTTTTGGTTTAACTAAGGTATTAGATGATTTTTTTAATTTATAATAATTTAAAATTAGGGAATGTGTGGAAATTGTGAATTATTTTAAATATTTTATGCTGACTTGGCAGTGACATGGAGTGTTGACTAACGGTCAACGCGTTTGACCGTCCAAGTTAACGGTCAAAAGTCGGATTTGGCCAAATTGTTTATATTGGTGTATAGTTCGGGCCAGGATGTTATAGATCGAAAAGATTGGCCATGATGTTTATTTTGGTCAAAGTTCAGGCCATACGAAAATATTAACCTTTATCATAAAGACTAATAACAACTATAAATTAACAATACATTAAATTTCAATACCAAATATCATCCAAAGCTGAAAGTGTTTGGGGATCAAAACATCACACCTAGGGGCTAAGATGAGGTGACTAAGGGGGGTCCTTTAGTCACATGACTAAGTGAATCTAAGACCTTCCACCTCATTAAATCTAATGACTTAGATTAATCTAATTTAATGAAGGACAATATAGTAATTGTATAATTTTATTAATTTTCAATCTACACAATAAATAAAAGCCAAATGAGAAAATTTGAACCCCATTTCAAACTTCCTGCATTCAAAGTGAAAGTAGGAAGGGTAGATTCGTCACATGACTAAGTGAATCTCAGCCCTTCCTCCTCCTTAAAATCTAATGACTCAGATTAATCTAATTTAATGAAGGACAATATTGTAACTGTACAATTTTATTAATTTTCAATCTACACAATAAATAAAAGCCAAATGAGAAAACTTGAACCCCATTTCAAATTTCCTGCATCCAGAGTGAAAGTAGGAAGGGTAGATTCATCTTCACAATCACTTATTATTTTCTTATTTACAGAAAAAATACATCAGTAATGAGATTTGAACCATGGTCTCTTCGAACAAAGATAAGAAACATAACCAATTACAATAAAAACATTTGTGTGATATTTTTCAAATAAAAACATACATGAAGCTTAAATCTGAAAAATATAAGACTTTTCCACCACGGTTAGCAACCGAAATGTCATTGATTCAAATATTGCATATATCGAATTGCACTCTTGAATGTGTAGAAGCGATGTAGAATTTATTAACATAGACTTTTAATTGTTATAACTATCATAAAGTAACGATATTTTTAAGCACAGAATTTTTGAGTGAATATGGGACACATGTGTCTTTAAGAGAGGAGTAAATATGGAAAGGTTGAGTGATGTTGGTTTGCCAAGCGCGGATGGAAAAGACACTACTAATGTAAATGGGCCCAAATGGTGCCCCGACCCACTAAACGCTCAAAACTATCGCCGTCTCTCCAAATTTATCATCAGACTCAACAACCGGCTAACCTCCTCTACCTCTATTGTTAAGCCAGAGCAATTTTTGGAGGGGTAAATATGGAAAGATTGAGTGCTGTTGGTTTGCCCAACGCAAATGGAAAATGTGCTACTAATGTAAACGGGCCCAAATAGTGTCCGACCCACTAAACACTCAACCACCAGGTTACTTTCGCTACACCTAATATAAGAGCGAAATGGGAAATGTGCTTCCCCCATTACAAAATCCTTGCATCCATAGCAAAAGTGGGAAGGGTAGATTCGTCTTCACAGTCATTTATTATTTTCTTATTCATAGAAAAAATACATAAGTGATAGGATTTGAATTTTGATCACTTTGAGAAAAGACAAGAAACATAACCAGTTACAGTAAATAAATTTGTTTAAACTTTTTAGATTAAAAACATACAGGAAGCTTAAATATGAAAAATCATTGGAATTTTCCATCACAGTTAGCTAAGCCATAAACTCTCCCCTAAATATTTTTTTGGTATTTGATACTTCTATTTTTCATACTTTGATTATTTTAATTCGAGTTTAACAATTAATTCTATTTCTCTATCTTATAAAGGGAGAATAATTATAAAATCGCAAGCCTAATGTCATTAGTGCAAATATTGCACATCGAATTGCATTATTGAATGTGTAGAAGCAATGCAGAATTCTTGACATAGACTTAAATAATATAATTACCAAAAAGCAACAATATTTTGTAACATAGAAGTTTTGAGTGAATATGTGGCACATGTGTCTTTAAGAGAGGGGTAAATATGAAAAGGTTAAGTGATGTTGGTTTGCCGAATGCGGATTGAAAAGCCGCAACTAATGTATATAGGTCTAAATGGTGTCCCGACCTACGTACTAAGCGCTCAACAATTGTCGTCTCTCCAAACCTTCCCACCGGACTCGACAACCGCCTAACCTCCTCCACCTATATTCTTACGCAAAGCAATTTTCAGAGGGGTGAATATGGAAAGATTGAGTGTTCTTGCTTGGAGAGCTGACTGGTGGGTTATTTAGTTTCTATGACAGTAATGTCTGATCTCTTAACCACAATTCATTTGGTTGATCTTCTAGGTTGACTTTTGAGTTGATTAAAAATAAACAGTGTCCCGGGTTCCCGTCCTACTAAAGGCTCAGCCATCCCCGTCTCTCCATACCTTCCCATCGGACTCGACAACCGCCTAACCTCCTCCACCTATATTGTTACATAAAGCAATTTTCGGAGGGGTATATATGTAAAGGTTGAGTGTTCTTGCTTGGAGAGCTGACTGATGGGTTATTTAGTTTTTTTGATAGTAATGTATGATCTCTTAACATTTGTTCATTTGGTTGATCTTCTAGGTTGACTTTTCAGTTTATTAAAGATAAATAACTATACTTTTGTTATGATACTCCTTTTCAGTATCATCATTTTTCTGATTTGAAATGTTTTGGTGGTTAGTTTCTAGTAAACAAAGAATATTCTGATTAGTGTTAGCATAGGGAATAGCTTCAATCATACCACTTTTACACAAAATTTATATGTAAGAGCTGAGATCATTGCCAAATTGAACTATTCAAGCTATAATACTTATCTTCAACATATAATACATAGTTTATTTTGAGTGAAACAACCTCATGATTGCAGATAAGTTTTTACAATATGATGTTTTGTGATAGTGGTTACTTGGGGTTAATTGCAATGCTGGTCACTCGAATTAGTAAAATGATCCATGTTTAGTCACTCTCCGTTAGTCTCCGTTAACACCGTCAGTCAATTGCTGACGTGGCTAACAAAAGTGCAGACTCAACCAATTTTAACCCGCCACATCATCAAACCCGACCCATCACATCACTCAACCCGCCACATCAATTTCCCAACCCAACTTATAAACCAACCCATCCAAACCTGTGACTAGATCCGACCGGACGATTCAGATCCAACCCCGTAAACATTAAAATTTCTTAGTTCACTTGCAACCCTCTTACTTTCGTCTCCTTGCAGCAACTCTCAAACCAAACCCCCAATGATGGCGACTACCAAAACCTTCTTCAAGCCTCTTCCTTCTTCCGGCTCCAAATCCCTAATTCCTTCAACCTTCAGATCCCCAAATCTGCACTGCATACCACATTCTTCGGCCAAGCGCATGTCTACTCTTGCCAACAGAGCTTCCGCGGCTGCAGTTCTCTGCCCCTCCGACGACGCATCGCATCCCAAGTTCCCAGAGCATTTCAGGGTCGAGCTCCTATTCGAATCCCTCATATACATCTAGTGATTTAGGGGCAAAACAACCATCGTGAAGTGCGGCGGCGCTGCCATGATAGACCTGAAGTTGAAGGCCTCCGTTGTCGTCTCCTGCGTCGGCCTCCACCCAATCCTCGTCCACGGCGGCGGGTCAGAGATCAACAGCTGGCTCAAGCAGATCAACATCGAGCCCCTTCTCCACGAGAGCCTTAGCGTTATTGACGCCAAGACGATGGAGATCCGCAATGGAAATCCTTTAATTTCCTCCTCCTGGTGCTTGGAAGAAATTCTAGTGACCACAAATGTCGAGAGTCTAAGAAAGCTTAATCGAAAGCTATCGGTGATTTGAGTATAGGAAACCTTATTCAATATTACCTTTCTCATTTCAACGAAGGAGCATAAGGAGCTGGACAAGGTGAGATAGTGATATGAGGTAGCTGTGCTATCAAATCACGAGTTTGGATCTGTATCGTCAAGGAACCAGGCGGAGGAAACTAGAGTCGGTCAGATCTGGTCACGGGTTTGGAAGGGCTGTGTTGGTAAAATTGAGGTGGTGGATTTAGTGATGTGGCGGGTCGGGTCTAGTGATGTGGCGGGTTAAAATTGGCTGAGTCAACACTTCTGTTAGCCATGTCAGCAATTGATTGACGGTGTTAATGGACACTAACGGAGAGTGACTAAATATGGACCGTTTTACTAATTCGAGTGACCAACATTGGAATTAAATATTTTGAGTGACTAAACATGACACTTTTTAGTAAACTCAGTGACCAAACTTGCAATTAACCCTAGTTACTTGCTTCCAGATCTAAAAGTGGGGTTCTAATTACTACAATCTACACATAATTTAATAGCATGAAGGAAAAAAAACCCTTCTCCCATTTCAAATTTCCTGCTCCATGAGTGATAATCGGCTTTAATATATCGTATTCGTGAGCTTTATGTGACTATCTCATGGTATGTTTAAGCCGATTGGTGCTATTTTAGGGAGAATTAATCCGTAATGGTTGAAAAGCCATTACTATTTTATGTTAGAGTTTTGGTGTGTGTTTAGATGAAAAGATAGATAAAATGGCAGCACTATAACTTCCGAAGCAGGAGATGGCGGGAGGAATTGAATCCATGTTTCTTCCACAACAAGTAATTGGGCCAAAGCCCAATTGATGGAAGCAATTAATCGAGGCGGCTGGGAATTATATTTGAACGGAAGAAAAAGCAGAGGGCCTGGGACGGAATTAATTTGGGACGGGGACAAGGATTGGAAGGGAATTCTTTGGACTTGGGCCAGGGAATTAATCCAAGTGGATTTGGCGGCTACAAGGGGAAGAGAGAGGCAATTAGCTGGGGCGGACGGAAATTCTTTTTGGAGAAGGGAATTATTTGGAAGGGAAAAGAAAGTCTTGGAAGGGGGAGGAAAAAAACTATTGTTCTGGAGAGGGCGAAATTCTTGGAGTGGAGAAAAGAAAGCAGAAGGGACAGTTGGGCGCCGCCAGGGAAGAGAGGCGCCGCGCAAGGCTGGAGAGAGAAGCTTGGCGGAGAGCTGTCGAGCAGTGCGCCGAGCATAATTGCAAATCAGTATTTTTTTCCCTTGATTAATATGATGATTATGAACATGATTGTTTGTTTTATTTTCGTCATGAACTAAACCCCAATTTTTGGGGGAAACACTAGAAGATGTAGCTATTTCTTGATTTGATGGATTGATTCATGATTCTTTTCTTCCAATCTCTATTGTATGAAATTACTTAATGCTTTGTGTTGACTGGCCACCAATACATTGATTTGTTGTTAATTAGGTTATTAGCGACAGTGAAACCCTAATAACTGAACATATTTCATGTGACATAGTAACTTATCGAAGCGACAGTGGATTAAATAAGGTGCTATGCGGTCTTAAATAGGAAATCGGTCTTCAGACTAAATAATTAACTCATTGAGCTACGACAGCAGGATTTGATTTAATTGTTTAGTACGTAGTAATTCCCGACAGGGATAGCTAGCACGGTAGTGATATCCTGGCTGTAGAGAGTTGGATTAAATTGATTGGAATATGTGAATTAATTTGGATATGATAGGTAGTGAATTCCGGTGTTTCTCCCAGAGCTTTCTTCCATTGAATTTCTCCCGAACATTTTATTTTGCTTAAGTAGTTTAATTAGTTTGCTAGTAGTTAATAATCTCATTAAACCATTTTCACCTATAGTTTGCTATACAAAATTGATAGAACTTAAGGTTGTACCAGTCCCTGAGAGACGATACCCGGACTTTCCGGTTTACTACGAGATAGGATTAAGGCATAGGCTTTTGCCCTATCAATGAGCGTTTATAGGAAGAGTATAATAGGCAGTGCCAATTTTTTTCTATCTTTCCTTTGTGGAACGGGCTAACTTATCGTTGACGTGCAGACTTGAACGGGCCCAAGGATTGTTGCGGCCCACATAAACAGAACATCCAGTTCCAGCCCGATCAATTACTGGGAGATACCTCCGGCGGCCTCATGGAATCTTCCCCAATCTCCTCCCTGGCGGTCCCTTTGTCGGCGGTGGTCCCATTTTTGGGAAAATATTCCCCTCCATGAAGCTGCCGAGAGAGAGAGAGAGAGAGAGAGAGAGAGAGAGAGAGAGAGAGAGAGAGAGAGAGAGATTTGTCATCGGCGAATTTTCCTGGGGCGCCGGAGAGGATTTTCCGGTGATGTGAGATTTTCCGGCGACATTGTCTGTTTTGTTATGTTTGTCGGACGATTTTTTAATGTTTGTAAGCATGTTTTGTGATTTGTATCAATTCGGTTTGTATCGTTTATCATTTTAGTTTGTCTTTTTTATCTATTATGTTTGTAATGTTCATATGACTAATTGTTATACATTGTAATTTGTAATGTATGTTTGTCTAGTTTGTATACTTTATATTCATTGATTTGTATTACAAGTTTACTGTTTTGTATTGTAAGTAGTGGCATTTTGTACTGTTGGTATGCTTTGTAATGTTTGTCGGTATAGTTTGTATAGTTCATATGTTTCGTATTGTTTGTAAATATGTTTGTGTGTTTTGCCAATTTATTTTGTATTGTTCGTATGTTTGCATGGTTTGTACTGTTTGTAAGTCTGGTTTGTATATTTCATAATTTTCCATAATACCCAAACTACCCTTGTTATTAAAAAGTCTTCCCAATTTTTAACCGTCAGATTATGTGTCCAGATCTAAGGATTGAGAGAGAGTTAGTAAAGTGAATATGCACCCCTCTTAGTCACTAGATCCGGCCTTGTAGAATATGAGAGAAAAAAAATAACTATCCATAAAATAAAAATAGAAAGCACACTAAATTTAATGGGTAGAATAATGGAAAATTAATTACCCAAAAACCTCCCTCCGCTACTTCTAGCTGCTCCTTCTTTTAGGATTTTCAAACAAGGAATGAATAGGATTAAGATTTGAAGTTATTTTAACACTCTGGAATGGAAGTTTGCTTCAAGATCAAATGTTATAGCTCGAAACTAGTTTTATTTTATTTGAACAAACATGTTATTATTTTTATCACCTACGTTGGAATTTGTACTTCATGCATAAAGCCTTTCTATATATTTTATTTGTAATATTCTTGTTTTGAGACATTGATTTATTAACGGTTTTTAATGGCTTAATACATATTGATTGTACTACTGCGGGTCATTGTCACTTGTTTGCACGGTCTAAATAGCTACCCCATTCCGAGCCAAATTTAACTCGAAATGGTGTTGCTATATAGTTGTGACCAAGGTCGTATTCCACAGATTCCGATACCCTAGCTTACTTTCCTCTCTATTGTTATCTAATCGATCGATTATGGGTTTGTTTTTGAAATTTTAATTGAAAGTACTGGTAGACGAGAACATGGATACAAAGCAAGTACTTTAGGGTAGCTCCCTCACCTTATCCTAGGTCTAACATGCAAATGACTAACTATGTTACGTTTATCAGATATGGCGTGTGAGCTCTCTAATTTTGTGGGCCTTCGTCGTTATCTCACGCCTCCGAGTACGTCCACCCAAGATCCATTGTCACCTCGGTCAAGGTTCACGTATATGGGGAATTACGAATTTAGCATCGTCTAGGAAGACGTTCTTGTGCAGGGGTACGATCACCTCGTCCACTACAAGACCCTAAGATCATTCATCTACCCTTAATCTGCCGGTTTCCACTACCCAATCTAACTGTAATACTGCTACCCAATGTTGGCTCATCATACGCTAGAAGAGAAGAGTACGACTTACCCAAGTATAATTAAGCATAAATGAAGGATATAATCATTATAACAAACACATCCATTCATAAATTCTAGCATAATTCATTCATCTACCTTATAAAACCTAATCTAGGGTTTTTGGGGTTCTAACTTCTCCATAAAGGAGGGAAGAAGAAACATAGAAGAAATTGAAGAAGACTTGATGGGGGAGATGGCTCATTCCTTCTAGCTCATCCTTCCTTCAACTTCTCTCTCTACTTTCTCTCTCCAAACAAGAAACTTCAATCAAAATCAGCTCTCTTTTGCAAGGGGGAAGGTGTCTCCTATTTATAGAGTTTTCGGATTCGGGCAAGTTGGCGATTTGGTTAGATTCAAGCTTTTTTTGTTTGATTTTCAAGCTTGGTATCACCATGGCACCGACTGCATGGAAGCCGTCCGAGTAAAAGGGAGGCAATGGTTGGTGATTGTGGTTGGAATCAAAATCTGGGCTTGGGGTAGGGTTATTTCGGGGTGAAGGTGTCGATCAGAGGAGGATCAGTGGTTATCGAGCGTGTTTCTTGGTTGGATTTTTAGTCTCGTCGTCTGTGGTTTTTATTTTTTCTCTCTTTTAATCCACGTCATTCAGTGGGGTCAGAAACACGCCAACTAAGCATCCACCGTTTGTCCAGTCATCAAGTTAACTGATGGAGTTAACGGAGTGGACGGAAATGGATATTTCGTGTATTTCGATAGTTGTGGATATATTTGTCACAAACCTGATAGTGGTGGATATATATGTCACAAACCTGATAGTTGTGGATATACAGGTGTATTTTGCCTTTATTCAACTAGCCTATTTGGTATCTACGTGTAAAGTTTGGTTGTTTTTTGGCTTATGTGGTAGGTGAGATGGCATTGATTCAGCATTTCATTAGTCAATTTAACGCCGTCTGACACGCCGTTATAGTTTTAGACGGAAGTGGATAGATTTGTCACACAATCTTTCGATTTTTGGATATTTCGTGTATTTCGATAGTTGTGGATATATTTGTCACAAACCTGATAGTTGTGGATATACAACTGTATTTTGCCTGTATAATATAATATAATTAAGTCTACTACTAGTACGAATTTAATATTCAAAGTACAAAAACAAAATAAAGAAAATGAAAAGCAATAATTAGACATGGTTTAAGTTTAAATGAAAGAAAAGTGAAGAAAATAAAAGATAGAAACATAGCTCCTAGATGCCTAGTACTCAATCCTGCTCGATGTAATCGTCAATGTTGCTTTCATTCACGGAAATAGATCATCACCCTCAGATGGCGGCGAGAGAGGGAATGCTTGCTCCACCTTGCTGGGGTCCATCTGCATCTCCTTCATGATCATGTGGAGGGCTCCTCAAACATGTCTCCTAGCCTTCCTCTCACGCCTTAAGAGAAACATAACTTCTCTTTGATTGTCGAGAAGTTGAGTGTTCTGCTCGATTAGTTTGGCATTTTGTTCGTTGAGAGTGATTATTTGAGATGCATGATACCCGAAGCATGGTGCACCTTCGTTCGGTATAGGAGGTGGGTCGTCTTGATGTTGAGAATGAAGTGCCCTTGATGTTATTCCCTTTACTCTTTTTCTCCCTCTGACAACTTTGGTAAGTTGACAGATGGAAAGATGATCTACCGTGAGTAGTTGACTTCATCTCATTACCGTACAGTTGCTTGCATCTAAATCAATTCCAAAATGTCTTACAAGCCTAGTGACAAAGACTCCTCCATGGATGGTCTTGTCCTTCAAGTTGGTTATATTCTTGTAAATGGTCTTGAGAATCACCAATCTAAGGTGTAGGTGAGGTTCGGTGAACATGGAACGTAGGAGGTTGAGGTCTCGCTTTGTTAGGTTGCATGCACTTTTTTCCTTGGTTGCAACTGTGCAGGAGAGTATGTTATGAATAATCTTCCACTCCGGTTTGTTGGAAGTGTTTTTCATGGATGTCTGATCAAAACATTCTTGATGATCTTTTCTTCCCAATTCCTTCATAAAGAACTCTTCTGCGTGATTGCAGGTGGCCATTCTTCACCTTCCAGAGCTCGCCAATCCGGTGAATGCAAGAATCCAAAGGGATAGAGTCCTATAGCCTTAGTAAATTCCACGGGTTTCGATACCCTAGCTTACTTCCCGCTTTATTGTTATCTAATCGATCAATTTTTGGGGTTTGTTTTGGAGGTTTTAATCAAAACTACTGGTAGAGGAGAATAGGGATACAAAGCAGGTACTTATGGGTAACTCCCTTGTCCTATCCTAGGCCAAACATGCAAATAACTAACAATGTTGGGTTTATCGAATATGGTGCGCGAGCTCTCTAAATCTCGTGGGTCTTCGTCGTTATCCCACGCCTCCGAGTACGTCCCCCGAGACCCATTGTCACCTCAGTCAAGGATCACGTATTTGGGGAATTACAAATTTAGCTCATTTCAAAAGGTTCTACCTTTCATGCACAATAAAGAGACGGATCAATACACGCTTGTGATCCTCTAAAGCATCATCTAGGAAGGTGTTCTTGTAGCAAGGGTATGATTGCCTCGTCCAATACAATACCTTAAGATCATTCATCTAGCCTTAATTTGCAGCTGACGCTACCCAGTCTAACTCTAAAACTCCTACCCAGCGTTGGCTCATCATAGGCTAGTAGAGAAGAGTAGGGAGACATACCCAAGCATAATTAAGCACATATAGCATATAATCACTAGAACAAATACATCCATTCATAAATTCTAACATAATTCATTCACCTAAGTTAAAACCTAATATAGGATTTGGGGGCTTTGACCCCTAGCACCTTGGAGGACTACTTCATAAAGAAGGGAAGATGAAACATGGAAAAAAATTGAAGAAGACTTGATGGGTGAGATGGCTCCTTCCTTCTAGCCCCTCCTTCTCTTCTTATCTAGTAAAGTGTGAACTGTCTGTTATACTAGTTTATATCAGGGATTATTACACCATACCGGGCCATCCAACCGAACCAAAAAACCAGAAACTGAACCCGATTCAGAATGGTATAGACAAAGAATGCAATTTGATGTGCAGATTGGTTTTTTTAGGTTGAACCGTAAAAGTGCAAAATATCAACTGACTTTGGTCCAACAAATAAGTGTGAAAATTGAAGGTTGTATATGTGAAATTTAGTATGCAAGGAGTATTGTATTTTGCACTCAATGTGCACAATTTCAAACCATGAAAAGTTGAAATTTCAAATTAAACTTCAAATCCAAAACTAAAAAGAAAGCAAGTCTTCTTCCCTCCAACGAAGAACAGAACTCAAATCTCACCTCCCCTCCAAAATATGGCACCCCTCCACATTCTTACCAACAACTGCAAAATCTTTCTCTTCTATCCCTTATCATATCTCGCTCGCTCTTCATCTCTCATTTCTCATAGATATAATGGTTGCTTGCTTACTGGAGGAGAGAGACAAAAATAAGGAGAACCTCCCACCAAATTCACAGTCCAGATCCTCGTCTTGTAAAGGCAAGAAAAGAGTGGTAAAAAGATCACTTGAAGACTTCTTGCATTTCTTCCCACTATTAACTCATCTATTTCAGGACCGTGCGAGGAGGAACTCTATTGTCTAAATATTTAGATGACCCATAATAATTTATCTTCTAATATTGAGATAGTACTTGTTCTGTTTTAGTTTACTTCGAATTTTACCAATACATGACTAAGAAAAAAAAATATTTTACTATACCAAAAATGATATTTTATCTGTACTAAACTGTTGGATTACGGTCATGTGACAAAACACCTTTGTCAAAAATGAGTTCACTATGACTTTCAATACATTTTGGAAAGGGTAAATACAATTTAATATCCAAATCTTTCATTTTAAACAATATAATAGCCAAATCTTTTCGAAAACAATCTAATATCCAAATCGTCAACTTTTCGTCCGTTTGACCGTTGGTTGACACTTCAAAAAAGCTTTGTTTAGGGGAAATTGTCACAATACAACTTTGTTTTCTTGTTTTGGCATTGCAGATGACTGAATATTTAGATATTCTATACCATAATGGTGGAGTCATGGACTTCTCAGGTTTGGAACCACGATATGTTGGTGGTTTTTCAGAGAAGATATCGATGGATATTGATGAAGCGTCGTACTTTGAACTTTTTTGAAGTGTCAACTAACGGTCAAACGAACGGAAAGTTGACGATTTGGATATTGTTTTCGAAAAAGTTTGGATATTATATTGTTTAAAATGAAAGGTTTGGATATTAAATTGCATTTACCCTTTTGGAAACCATGATTCATATGCCATTCGAATATAAAAAGATACGTGGCAGAATAGGAAATAGCGGAACAAGAGAAGGGCAAAGGTGGAACAAACTATTCCCTCATTTCCCCATCCCATTTCTTTCTTCTCGTCCGTCTCTCTCACAATTTATCATATTACCTCTCTCTCTCTCTCTCTTCCAACTGCATTGCCATTTGCCAACTCACAATCACAGCAAAACAAATCAAATTCTCTCTCCCCTTTTCTTCGCTGCTTGCTTGCTGCTGCATCTGCGTGTTTGTTGGATGCGGCCACTTCTCCCCTCTTTCGCTCTTCCAAACCCAATCAAAACCCCACTCTTCTTCTCCCTACTTTTCCACCCTTCCTCCGCCGCCGCCTCCACGCTCCGCCGACCCACTCCTCTCTTCCTATCCTTCCTCCCGGCCTCGTTCCGCCCGCGATCCTTCTCGAATTCTCCCCCTACAATGGCGATCCCTCCAAAGCTCCTCTCCTCCTCCGCATCCATCGCCACCACCTCCAGTCTCGGCAGCAACTCCGCCGACCACGGCCTTGCTGCTAAGCTCTGGATCAAATTCCGCCGGGAATTGCATTTCGCCATGTACACTCCCTTTCTTGTCTCTTTGGCCTCCGGCAATCTGAAGGCCGACACCTTCAGGCACTACATCGCTCAGGACGCTCACTTCCTCAAAGCCTTCGCCCACGCGTATGTCCTCTCTTGCTTTTAATTTTTGCTTCGCAATCTAGCGTAAGTTCCCCTTCACGTCGTGTTCTTGTATTTCTGGCGACTGTTTCCGGTCGTATGAGAGAATACGTATGGCTGTTTCATGGATTAGCCAAGAGCATTTGAGTTGTGGTTGATTGCTTCCTATTCTGTTGGCGGAATAAAAGAGAAAGGGTAAAATGATGACGGTTGCAATCTTTAGCCCTTCTTTTAAGGGATTAACTTAGTCGTCTCTCTGCCGAGGCAATTCACGGGAAAGGAAAATGCACCTTGTCAGTGTGAGGGAGATAGAGTTGAGAAGGGTTATGCATATAGGGAATATAGGATGGGGGAGGTGTACAAGTTCTGGTATCTTATTGAATTTCCTCTGGTAAACGCATTGAAGTCGTGCATGTGATAATTTGTGTGGAATTGGTTCTCTATTCGTGAAATGGTGCTTGTGGGCATGGTAGAAGATGGACAAAGAAGCCTGAGATTGAGATGTGGTCAATTAACTTCATGCCATATTGGTGTGGTACATGAAGAGTACTTTCGTTACATTATGCTAATGCTCTATCTTCGCAAAGAAAGAAACTTATTGCCTCCCGCACCGCCCTAGTTAAGTCTTTCTGCTCGCATCTGAGTTTCTGCATTTTGAGTTATACATGGAAGAAGCCGCTATTATATGCTGCTATGGTATTTTTGCTCTGCCTCTAAAACGTGGGTAAGGTTTGAATGGGATGATCTTGACCGTTGCCTGTGGACGGTATTTGTTTCCGTGTATGATATAGAATAGAAGCCTGCACTTGGCTTGCCAATGTACTTGTGGTGGATTGCTGGCAAAAAAATTTTAATGGAGTTCGAAGAATAATAATTGGCAGAACTGCTCTCTCTTGGTTGGGCGTAGGAGAATGCCTTGATTTCATAATTCATTCAGGAATTTATTGTTGTCTTTGTTTCTAATGCATGTGGTTTAAAGTATTTTCTTTTCTTTTTCTTCTTTTTATCAGTTCTCAACTAGTATTAGTAGGGTTTTACGTTATTGTTAATTGAGAAAACGTAATTGCATGCATGAGGCATGTTTTGTTAATTGGAATTCTGCGGATGACAGTACAAATTCAGATAGTACTAGTCTTGCTGCATCCTCTTTTTCTATGCCAACAAAGTTATGCTATGATGCTTATCATGGTTGTTTATTAAATGTTAGGTATGAATTAGCAGAAGAGTGTGCTGATGATGATGATGCAAAGTTAGCAATCGCTGACTTGAGAAAAGCTGTTTTGGAGGAGCTCAAGATGCATAATTCATTTGTTCTGGTAATGGTCAGTTGGACACTATTTTCAGCTACCAATCTTCATCATCTGAGGTCAACTTAACCTTTAAATAACTTGTTGAATACGGATGTGAAGAGCTAATATTCTTCACCCTTCCTAGATTTTGACTTTAAAATGCCACGTTTCACATTTGAATGACTTTTCCTTTTTAATCATCTTGTTCGAACCCACAACAGCAGTTTCTTGTTTCCTCATTTTCCTTGCAAAGGCTGACTATAATCTGGAAAAGTTGATCAATCTCTTTCTTGTTCAATTCTTGGCGACAAACAAATTTCCGATTGTTTGACAGAAGACTAAGTGGATACGTTGGCGTTGTCATGCACTCATGCTTACTTGTACATGGCCCCGAAATTGGGTTTTGCAGGATTGGGGTATTGACCCTGCCAAAGAAGTTATAGCAACTTCTGCAACTGTCAAATACACAGATTTCCTGTTGGCTACTGCATCTGGAAAAGTGGAAGGTGTAAAAGGTCCTGGTAAACTGGCTACGCCTTTTGAGAGAACGAAGATTGCAGCTTACACTATCGCTGCCATGACACCTTGCATGCGACTTTATGCCTTTCTCGGCAAGGAATTACAAACACTAGTGGATTTAAAAGATGGCAGTCACCCATATAAGAAGTGGATCGAAAATTATTCTTGTGGTAGTTTCCAGGTAAGTAAGTTTCTTTAGTCCCACTACATTTCTGGTTGGAAAAATGGAGAGGGCTCACTAGACAGATAGCCATGTTTAACTCAATGTCTGGACCATTTTTCTTTTGAGTCTAGGCATCCGCTTTCCAAACAGAAGACTTGCTGGATAAACTCAGTGTCTCTTTGACTGGAGAAGAGCTAGATATCATTGAAAAGCTTTATCACCAAGGCATGAAACATGAAGCAGAGTTCTTCTATGCACAGCCTCTTGATCAGCCCACCGTAGTGCCTTTCGCAAAAGATCATAACCATGATGGAGACCGCCTTGTCATATTTTCTGATTTTGATTTGACTTGCACCGTTGTTGATTCATCTGCAATCTTGGCTGAAATTGCTATTGTAACTGCACCAAAATCTGACCAGCCTCAACCCGAGAATCAAATTGCACGGATGTCATCAGCTGAGCTCAGGAACACATGGGGACTGCTCTCGACGCAATACACAGAAGAATATGAACAGTGCATTGAAAGCGTCTTGCCCCCTGAAAAAGGTTAATTTTTTCACATCTTGCTTCATTATTGAATGAGACTTCTTAGTTACAATCAACTTTAGTAAAATTATCTCAAGTTTTCTGAATTTCTAATGCATTTTTTTTCAGTGGAGTTCAACTATGAAGCTCTTTGCAAAGCACTTGAGCAACTTTCAGATTTTGAAAGAAGAGCAAACACCAGAGTGATTGAGTCTGGAGTCCTCAAAGGTCTGAATCTCGAAGACATAAAACGAGCTGGCGAGCGACTGATTCTTCAAGATGGTTGCAGTAATTTCTTCCAGAAAATTAATGGAAACGATAAGCTGAACTCAACTGTGCATGTGCTCTCATATTGTTGGTGTGGCGATCTCATTAGATCAGCTTTCTCATCAGGTAAGTAGTAGCTGTTACTGCTTCACTGTTTCAGAATTTCTATTTTTTTTGTCCTTTCTCTCTCAACTTCTCTCTTTGTCAAGCAGGGGGGCTTGGTGTTGTCAGTGTTCATGCAAATGAGCTGACTTTCCAAGAGTCAATCTCCACTGGAGAGATTGTAAAGAAGGTGGAGTCTCCAATGGACAAGGTCGAAGCTTTCCACCACATATTGAAGAACTACAAAGATGATAATAAGAATTTCACGGTTTATATTGGGGACTCAGTGGGCGACTTGCTCTGCCTGCTTCAGGCTGATGTGGGAATTGTTATTGGATCGAGCTCAAGCCTAAGGACGGTAGGGAGTCGGTTTGGTGTTTCTTTTGTACCATTGTTCCCTGGTGTGCTGCAAAGGCAGAGAGAATGTATAGAAGGAAGCTGCTCCATGGGCAAGAGCCTGTCTGGGACTCTGTACACAGTTTCTAGTTGGTCCGAGATACATGCCCTCATCTTGGGATGGTGATTTGTTCCTTCCCCAAAGGCATATTACTAGCATCGGATTTTAGAATTTTGAACACAGACAGAGAGATACAATGTGGCCTGGGTTTTTATTTTGAGCCACAGATGTGAGAATGAGATGATACATGCTGCTGTTCCTTGTACCCCCTTTTTATTTCCAGAAAGAATTTCTTCCCTCAGCTGGAATGCACCGTCATTCTTTTCTGGCGACACGGCAACGTGAACCGGGTAAGCTTTCGCAGTTCTGTGTTTCGTCCTTTATTGTGTTCCATCTGGCGGTGAGAGTTGTTCTCAGTTATACTTGTTTTTCTTTCTCGTTTCAGGTTCAGCAGCTTGCAGAAAATGAAAAGAAAGGTTGTTGGAGGCAGCAGAGGAGTTCTTCTATCTATAGATACGGTAATTGTCGAATAGCCAAGGAATGAATAGGTGTCGTTGAACCCCTGAATATTGATTGGAACCACTAGTATTAAATGAATGTAGTGGGTGTAACAAGGACAATGTCATTGGCATGTTGGGGTTGATATGCAGAATTCTCTACTCTTTTCGGTGACGGAGTTGCATTATTGGCAAAACTGCCATTTGGTACTATTGAAAGCTTTTTTTTTTTTTTTGTTTATTAACGGATAGAAAGGATTAAGTGTTGGATATTGGAATGAAAGGGATTAGCAATTTTCTCAACTCAACTCGGGGCTAGCTCTAGAGTGGTTTGATTTTTCCAAAGCTGCCTCCGGAACTGGCTAATTGCGCGCGGCACAAGCGGTAGGCTCAAATAGGGATGGGCAAACGGTTCGGTAAATCCGAACCGAACCGAAACCGAATTAATGCTATTCGGTTCGGAATTCGGAAGGAAAATATGGATAGTTCGGAAATCAGGATTCTTTCAACCTAACCGAATTTTCGAATTTCCGACCGAAAAACCGAAATACTATAATTGCAAGCTCCAAATGGTGGATTTTTATGTTTGTAGTTGTTTTTAGACTTAAATATTTGAAATGTTTTATGACTTATGTGTTGAAAAGTTTGGTTTTATCATTGATGCTGCATATAATTGATATTTATTGTTTATATTAGGGGTGAAAAATAATTTAAAAGTGAGAAAATACAAGTAGCTTCATAAATTCGGTTTTGTGTGAAAACCGAACCGAATTATAGTTCGGTTTAAACCGACCGAACCGAATTATAATTCGATTCGAATTCGGTTTGAGGTTTGGGAAAATTCGGGGACCTGGTATTCATAATTTCGGTTCGGTCAAAACCGAACCGACTGAATGCCCACCCCACTCAAAGTAGCAACTCTCTTTCCATATCCCCATCATGCCGTATTAAGAATGTTCATCTTTGCTCACTTCTCAATGCCTAAACAATTGACCGATTATAAAAGATATTCTCAACTTCCAAACAATTAGCCGCTGGGAGGGGTTACGGTGCTAATTGAACAATAGTTAGCACCGTCCTAACCAAGGGAAAAACTACTACTAGTTTGAATTAGTAGTGATTTAGCTTAGATGTTGTATTGATTTTATAATAATCCGTAGTGACTTTTGCTAGTTATCACGGCGCTAACCCCTATAAGGGTTAGCACCTAATCCCCGCTAGGTTTAAATGGTTGTTGGTGTAACTGATAATTAGTTAACCGATAGGTACCCTTATTTAAGTATAAATATCTCTATTTCTCTCCCCCCAAAGGAATACGTCCCTTTCTCAAAAATAAAAAAAAGGAATACGTCCCTACCAAATAAACTTTGAATAAACATCTCCTTCATGCATCGACCTTCTTCATCTTTTTCCAATTTCTTCTCATTGTAAACCCTAAAATTGAAAGGCGCAAAAACGACCACTCACTATGCGATTGAATTGTAGGCATCAGGGTTGGGATGTAAAGATCATATGGCTTCTGCTCGAGGAAAGATAGCAAAGACCGAGCCTCAATTTCATTCATCAATGACTTCCTTCACCAATTTGCACTCATCACTCTTCTCCTTCCTCTCTTTGTTTTCTTTCTTAGTCCAACAGGTGCAACAATTCAAGCCCAAATCACTAATCCTATTGCTCTCCAAAGACTATGCCACCAACCGAATCTTAACCCACTTCTACATCGAAATCCCATGGCTCGACAGTTACACTAGGTCGGTTTCTCCTCCATTCACTGCCTCGCTAAGTGTGGATCTATCGCATGCTTTGCATTGCATTTTCTTCTCTTTTTTTTCATATACAACATTGACTCTTTGACTTTGTTGTTTGATTTGAGCCTATTTACACATATTTTAACCCTTATTTTATGATCGTTTGACTTGGTAAGCGTCTGATGTCACGACTGTTACATCCAGACCATAAAGTTGGCGCTCCAGTAGAATAAATAAAGAGAGAGAGAGAGAGAGAGAGAGAGAGAGAGAGAGAGAGAGAGAGCTTGGCAATGGTTTGGAATTTCTGGATTCCCTTCTAGGATTCCTACCTAAAACCCCAAAGGGGCACTTCTAGAGAGAGAAAGATTTAGAGTGTCCTTTGAGCTTGCTTGGAGGTTGTCACCCGCCATTAAAGCTTGAAGATCAACCCCTAGAAGACGAAGATGAAGGAGTTTGTGCTTTGTTTTGTAATCTCTCTCCCCTCTATGAACTAACCCTCTTCTCTTAGGTTGATGAACCCCTGGTTCTAGCTTTTGGGTTTGTGTTGGTGTATGTGACAGATTTCATGTCTGATTGATGAATTTATCTAAATGTTGGATGGTTTTTCATTAATTGCGTGAGTTTGGTTTCATTATCATGTCAATTGAGCTTTGGGCCTAGGGGAGACAACTCGCTCCTCTGCCTATATATTCCGGGTAATCTCCGAGGGAGTCGATTGGATAGATATCCTATGATATAGGTTTGCCCTTGGTTGAATAGAGCGCCACCTCTCCATCACTTCGCTGTTCCAGGTCCGTCCCGAGGGAGTTAACCGCCTAACGGTAGGGTAATGAGTCGATCGGGCTAGGACGGTACTCAACATCGATCAAATGACGGAACTAAGGGGATTCAAATCTAAGAGAGCTCTCATCCTGTAATTAGCTAGGTTAGTGGTTAGCTAGGTTATTTAGTTTAGTCTTCTTAATCACTATCCTAGGTTGGCTAGATAACGAACCCTAAACCTGAAGTAAGGTAAGCTTAGATCTCCGTTGTACGATCAATTTTATTGCTTGCTTACCCTATGCTACACCCAGTCTTCGATTATACTTGGTCGTCGATTGAGAATGTTGTAGTCAGGTTGAACCATTGTTTGACCTTGTCTTCTTTATCCTTCATTAACTTGAGCTTGAGCCATAAATCGTAGCGGAATTTGATATCCGTCTGTGTAAAGTTGGCGATGTAGAGCCAAAATCAAGCTCATTTTCTAGATTTGCGCATTGGAGGTGACAATGGTGGTAAAGCGAAGAGTTCCACTCAGCAGGATTTGAAAAAAAAGATAACCGGTCAATTATTTTGGACTAACCTTTGCGAATCACTTACTAAGCGGCTAATGGAAAAATTAGCATATACTCCAGTTCTCGATTAAATGATTAACGAACTAACAAAAAAATATGCTTAATGGTACACAAAAATTGATTTTAACCGATAACCAAACAAACTAACAATGTTTGTTTAGATAAAGGATGGATAATATGTTGTGAAACCCAAACTAGCTTATCCGAACGATATAAGTGACAGTAGGTCGTTGATCGAGTAGGGGATAGGTGATATGAGCAGATGATTGAACAATAGGACTGGGAATCCAGACCAAATCGTATGGGAAACTGCACTTCAGACCAGACCTCATAGTTTCGTCTGAACCGTGAGACAAGAATCACGATCTGGTCTGGCATACAGTCTCCTCTTTATTGAGCGGTCTGGCATGGTCTGAACCTTGATAAAATGCATTTAACTGTATCATATCGTGAGCCACTATCCAGTAATCCAAACCAAAATAACTCTAAACCTCTATTTCTACATTTGGAAGAACAAATTGAGTATGATCCATCTGACCATGGCGAGCAGACAATATGATCTTCCTACTATAGATTTCAGCACAAGCACAGCAAATCTGTTGATTCTTCATCCAACTAAAAACCAACTGACTGCTCAAGTGATCCTTTTGCATTATCTCCTAATGAAAAAACCACAAAGAAACAAGAAAAGATGGCAAAATCATCTCCACTAGCCACGTCTAGACTCCAAATGCAAACCAAAAACTTATTTACTTGGTGAGATAAGAGAAATTTTGACAAGCGAAGCGGCAAACCCATTGGTTTAAAGCGGTCTCGACATCGTCGCAGTTGGAATTGAGTGCGAGAATCTTCCGGATCACCTAAGAGATGGAGAGAAGCGATAACACAAAGAGGAAGAGGGATGCCAAGTTATTTGTTGTGTATTTTATTTAAAGTGGATACTAGATAGAGTAATGGAGAATGTAGTGGGAGTAAGAAATCAAAAAATTACACTTCTCCCCTCATATTTCTTTGTGGGTTAATTACGTCACTAAATTTTTTGTTTCACTAAAATATTGGGCCAGAACTTTCTTCCCACATGCAAAATTTTAGTTTTTACGAAAAAAGGGAAAATCCTTTATAAATGGAAAATAGTGATAATAGAGTGGGTAATTTAGTCCAACTAGTTGAAAGATCAAGTCTAACTAGTTGAAAATGTCAAAATATGAGAAAGATGAATAGATAATGTTAGAAACTAATATAGAATGGGCCAAGAACGGGGCGGGACGGGGCAAACGGGTCAGAAGTATATACACATGCCTCGCCCCATGCTACTACGGATCGGATAATACACAACGAGGTGGATTCAAATGGCAATTCCTAGAAGCATATTGAGCAGGTGATTGCGAGGAACACGTACTTGGAGCCCTCAAACCAAAATTTGGACAGTGAACTAGGCTCCAAGCACACAAACACATCTAAGCAGTCAAATATAAGCACCCCCACACTTAAGATCGACATTGCCCTCAACGGAGATGAGAGAAAGATAAGGGGGAACAATGTTACTGATAACGTCGTATTGTTTGGTTGTTTGAATCTTTGGATGCTATATTGTTTGGTTATAATCTATTGAGGCATGTATTGTTCAGTCAATTGGATCTTGATCACATACTATTGATTTCTGCTTTAACCTATGATAGATAGAATCTGATTAGGTTGATAGAGCTTCTTCAATTGTAGGAGTGAATGATTGTACGAGAGTCAGACAATTCATTGCTTTGTACTAGAATTCATTCCATGTAGTGGAGATATATGCGAATTGCCTTAGCAGTCTATCCCAGTGAAGGCTAGTCGCCTGTCGAGTACTCTGTCTAAGAGGGCTTGGACAAATTAAGAGATTCAAAGCTATTTTCGGATCTTCCGCAGTTTAATCAGCAGTAAAGCAACCAAAAAGAATTATAACTTGGATATAATTGAGGAGCTATGGGGAGTCATAACTAAATGAGTTCCCAACCTGTAATTAGTAGTTTTATCTAGTTTAGCTTATAGAGTAGTTTAGTAAATCAATCATTAGTCTTGTTTGCTTGATAATGAACTGAAGCTGAGTAATAGTAACTCTAGAGACTCGTGGATTCGATATTTATTACTTGTGCCAATATATTGCATTCCCTTTCATTGGTTACACTTGGCCATTGTTAGAAGTTGTGTTTTAGTGAGTCAAGTTTTTGGCGCCAT